CCTGGGTGCACGTTGATCTATAGATCTGATACAATCTCAATCAAAATCTCAGCAGATTTTTTTTTTGTAGAAGTTGACAAACTTTTAAAATCCTTGTGTTCTTTATAACTCAAATTAGTTCATCTTCATGCCTTGATTGATATTTTATGTTGAATATTTGGAAGTTATCAGGTTAGGATGAAACACATCATAATTTTTACCATTAAAATTAATGTATTTCTTTTCCCATTTAATGGCTTTTCACTTCCCAAAAGGGCTGTCATGAACAGATTAATATTTTTAAGCATGGAGTAAATGTATACAAGAGTCTTTCTCCAAGCTTTCTATTCTTCAACTTCATCCAGGTTACAATCCCATGCTGTTTGGGATTTTCATATTAGGCTCCATCAGGTGCCTTCATATCAGACATGGCAAGTCCCTCTTTCTTGTCCTTTTTATTCAAAGTTTATCTACCTACTCCATGGACCTTTATACTTCAGTATCAACATTCAAAAAACAAAACTCATGGCATCTGATCCCATCACTTCTTGGCAAATAGATGGGGAAAAGTGAAAACAGTGACAGATCTTATTTTCTTTGGCTCCAAAATCACTGCCGATGGTAACTGCAGCCACAAAATTCAAAGACCCTTGCTCCTTGGAAGAAAAACTATGACCAACCTAAACAGCATATTAAAAAGCAGAGACATGACTTTGCAGGCAGATGTCCATATGGTTTTTCCAGCAGTCATGTATGGATGTGAGAGCTGGACCATAAAGAAGGTTGAGTGCTTAAGAAGTGATGTTTTCAAATTATGGAGCTGGAGAATACTCTTGAGAGTCCCTCAGACTGCAAGGAGATCAAACCAGTCCATCCGAAGGGAAATCAGTCCTGAATATTCATTGGAAGGACTGATGCTGAAACTGAAGCTCCAATACTTTGGCCACCTGATGTGAAGAGTCGACTCTTTGGAAAAGACCCTGGCTCTGGGAAAGATTGAGGGCAGGAGGAGAAGGGGATGACAGAGAATGAGATGGTTGGATGGCATCACTGACTCAGTGGACATGAGTCTGAGCAAACTCTGGGAAATAGTGAAGGACAGTTGGAATGCTGCAGTTCATGGAGTCGTAAACAGTCGAACACTACTTAGCGACTGAACGGTAATCCACATTACAGTAAGTGCTCGGAGCGTTTCAAACACCCACTGAGATGTGAGTCAGGGTGGCACTGGATAAGTTTGAGTTAATTTCAGGAGGCTTGACGTCTTTGTCATAGTAAGGCATTCCAACATGAAATGTGTGTCTATTCACTTCAACAACCTCCACCAGGGTCTTTACTTGAGTCTAGAATTTAGCACAGGGAGGCCTGGTGCATTCCTGTTCCATGAATTTCTGGTTGCTCTTGGTTTTGTTACAGTTAGAGGTGATGTCTTGTATGCTGTTGTATATTCCCATTGGTGATTTTTACAGGCATGGAGAGAAGATCCTTGGTCTCTCCCACTTTCATGCCCCTTGCAGCAGCTTCTGGAATTTATCTTATTGTTTGAGAACCTCGTTGCCAGAGTGGGTGTAACTGTGGCAAACATTCTAAATACTCTGAAGCTTGGTGTCTCTGAAAGTGTTTTTATCCCACTTTCACATTTAAATAATAATGATATCTTAGAAAGTCCTCTGTGAAAAGTTATTGGTCCTCTGCACTTTATAAATATGACTTCTCCGTGTATCCAGCACTGCCCTTGAGAAGAACGATGTGAAGCTCATCTTCAGGTTGCTCTGGAACGTTCCAGAACTTTCATCTCTGTGGCACTATGATAGGAAGAATCTAGCTTCTTCCTTTTCATCCTTTTTGGCCCCTGAGAGCTTTTTCTCGTTTCTTTCCTTCTAAGGTATTTAATTTGGCTCCATTTTCAAATATTTCCTCCTGCTGTTTCTCTTTCCCTCTGTGACTCCTCTTGTCCAGTTATCTCATGTTCGTTTTCCTCCCCACACTCTCAGGGTCCCCTCTGATAGTCCATTTCACAGCATCGCAGTGCTGGTTTATGTAGGGGCATATCACCAATCAATGCTAAAGCAGTGGGTAAAAGTGGGAAGGGTAACAGGATATTTACACAGTTTCGAGGTTCCTCCCCACAAAATAAAAATTACAAAGGGCAAAACATTAACTTCACCCTGTAAAGTAACTGTAAACCTGGGACTTACATTTAATCACGTGTTAAAAGTTCATATCTCCAGGTGGTCCCCTCTTGGCCATGTGGAGAACTGGGACCACATTTACCTGCTGTCCGCGAGAACAGGGGAGAGCGCGTGTAACACTGTGTTCAAACACGGACAGCAGGAAGTGAGGGAGTGTGTGAGAAGTGAAACAATCCAGGGGGCCAGGCGGTGATTCTCCAACTGAACCCAAGGTTTCCCGGAGGTGGGGAGGTGGAAATCTAAGTTCAAGGAGGCCGAGGGGGAGGTGGAAATCTAAGTTCAAGGAGGCCGAGGGGGAGGTGGAAATCTAAGTTCAAGGAGGCCGAGGGGGAGGTGGAAATCTAAGTTCAAGGAGGCCCAGGGAAGGAGGATTTGCAGACAGATCCATGGAGAGAGGGAAACAGAGACACATTGCACTGCAGTTCACCACCACCTTCAGTACTCCCAGAATTTTATCATACTTGCTGATCTTTCCTCAGATCCCTTCCTCCCTCTAGCTTCTAGGGTTTCTCCATGGTTGATCCTGGGTGTCCCCATCTAGCGGCCAATTCTGCTGTGGGACTGGAATAGGCACTGCCTTTCTCTGGAGGGGATAGTGGATGCCGCAGTCAGGACCCGTGAGCCCGGCTGATGGCTACTGAGGTCGGATGAGTGAGGCCATAGGCTGATGGCCATGAAGGAGAGCAGTGCAGTTGTATAGAATATTCTGGACCTGCTGCCAAAACGCCAGACACAAAAGGACAACTCCGGTGCGATTCATCCTTCATTGAGGATGGAGTCCTGTATGTCACCCCTCACCTGAGGCCCCCGGAGGAGTCAGATTCCTAGAGACAGAAGGCGGCCAGTGGGGCCAGACTGGGGGAGGGGAAGGGAATGAACGCTTCGTGGACAGAGTGTGGGTTTAGGGAGATGAGAGCGTTCTGGAGGAGGCTGATGTGATGGTCCCCCGCAGTGTGCCTGCCCTTAATGCCATGGAGCCGTGCACTTAGGGATATGGTAAATCATGTGTATCACACCACATCCTTCTATTACTTATTTATTTGACTATACTGGGTCTCAGTTCCAGCACACGGGGTCTTTAGTTGTGGCCTGTGGGACCTACTCGGAGAAGGCGATGGCACTCCACTCGAGTACTCTTGCCTGGAAAATCCCATGGACAGAGGAGCCTGGTGGGCTGCAGTCCATGAGGTCGCTAAGAGTCAGACATGACTGAGCGACTTCACTTTCACTTTTCACTTTCATGCATTGGAGAAGGAAATGGCAACCCACTTCAGTGTTCTTGCCCGGAGAATCCCAGGGACAGGGGAGCCTGGTGGGCTGCCATCTATGGGGTCACACAGAGTCGGACACGACTGAAGCGACTTAGCAGCAGCAGCAGCAGCAGTGGGACCTACTTCTCTGACCAGGGATCAAACCCAGGCCCCCTGCATTGGCAGCTCGGAATCTCAGCCACTGGACCACCAGGGAAGTCCCACAACTCCACTTTCTGTCTCTGGATTTGCCTGTTCTGGAATTTTCATACACATGTTGTCGTACAAAATGCCATGTGCTTTTTTTGGACTGTACTTAACTTTTCCAGTGGCTCAGATGGTAAAGAATCTGCCTGCAATGCAGGAGACCCAGGTGTGGTCCCTGGGTCAGGAAAATCCCCTGGAGAAGGAAATGGCGAACCACCCCAGTATTCTTGCCTGGAGAACTCCCTGGACAGAACAGCCTGCAGGGCTACAGCCCACGGGGTCACAAGGAGTCAGACACAGCTGAGCAACCAACGCGCGCAGCTTCCAAATAAAGGCAAAGGAAAGTCAGGCTTCTGCCTAACGAGGCACAAGCTCCCTGTACAACCAGAAGCGTGCTCCCCTCCCCCCAAAGGGGAGGGGGCCCCTTTACCCTCCCCGGGGTGGTGTCCACTTCCCTTCTGGCCCGGTCACATTCCCACTCTGACGTTTTATGATTTACCTGCAGAGACAGAACGGTGGGCTGGGATCAGCAGTCACACCCTCCAAGCTCCGTGGTTGGCCAGACGGCCACGGCTGGTCTCTTCCAGCACCTCCCCCACGCCCACCTCCACATCCTCGTCGCCTCCGTAGGCACCCCAGCTGACGCTGGCTCCCTGCCTTGGGTCAATCCAAGGCCTCATTCCTGAGAGGTCTGGGCCTAAGGCTGCAATTCCCGTTTGATTTCCATCACAGGACCAGGAATCTCCATGCTCCAGGGGACTTCTGCCTTCCAGACACGTTCGTTCTCATCCTTACCTCCTTGGTGTAAGCACCGGTCCCCCCGATGGGACAGACCACCCCAACCTTGTCGTCACCCCTCTCTGCCCGTTGGTTCTCTGTCACGAGGACCCCATGGTGGCCCGGGTTCATTAAAGAACTCGTGTGTCCTCGGTGGGGGCTCTCCTCCCTTGGGAACTTGAATTTCTAGACCAAGAAAACCTAGAGTTGGAGGACAGGAGATAAAGATGCACTGAGGGCGTTTCATTAGGGTGACAGCTCATTGCCATTTCTGCCTTGTGATTCCCAGAATCACACATCTGAGCGAAGAGAGAAAACGCTGATTCAGAGCACCCAGCCCCGCACCCCCTGCAGGTGCTACAGCCGCGTCTTCAAAAGCGCGTCACACTGTCCTGTTGGGCCAGCGGCTTCAGGGTGACGGGGGTCCTCGGGAAACCTATGAGTCAGGTAGCCTGCGCCCCCCGCTGGCTGGGGAACGGGCTCCTTAGCTGTCAGGCCTGTGACGGGGGGTCAGGTGTCCCATTGGGCACAGGTGGTGCATCTGCAGCCACATGGGGGCAGGAACGTGACTCCATACTCAGAGCATCTGTTCTAGGAAGCCGCCTGGTGCCTTCCCACCTGGAAGCAGCCGCCTCACCTGCGGCCCTGGGATGGTGCCGCACCGCCAGGACCTCATCGGGGCATCGGTGTCATCTCTGCTGTTTCGGGAGAGGCCCTCGGTGGACAGCCGTGTGGAGGGGGCAGTCCATGTGCCAAGCCCACCCATCACCTCCACTGTGGCAGCCATGAGCCCTCTGGACAGAGGTGAGCGGGGGTCCACAGAAGGGCCAGAGGTCTGCCTGGTAACAGGTCTTTCCTGTCCGTGGCGGCAGCTCAGTGTTCACATGGGCCCCAAACGCCTCCCCATTCCGTGTCCTTTGGGGAAGTCTAACATCGCCCCCTCTTTCCCAGACCTCCAGCCAACAACTTTCCAACTGTGCCCCTTCCAAGTCCCTGGCCGTCCAGCCACACCGTTGAAAGCTATGATTTCTACAGACCTGGGACCCCCTACCCTCCTTCCAGGCCAAGTCAAAGGAAGAGATGCTCCTTGAGTTCCTGGAGCTCCGGGCTGTCCACTCCGGGTGGTGACCCCACGCAGAGCAGAACCCCCGGAGAGACAGGCCCTGGCTCTTCCTTCCTTCGTCACCAGGTCACGGGAAGGTCCCTTGATGCCAGAGGTGACACAGCCAGGGGCGGGCACAGCAGGCTTTGCAGCCGCTTCCTCACATGACCTGCTTGTATCCTCAGAACCTGCCCTGAGCCTGTCTGACACACACCCCTTCTCTGATGGTGGAACAGGACTGTGTGTGCCCAGCTTCATGGCCTGAGACTCTGTAAACCCAGCTGCACCGTCTGGTCTGGTCTCTTTGGTGGGACACCCATTCTTTGTTCTTCATCTGCCATGCCTTGCTTTGTCTTTGCTATTGTTGGACTTAAAAAAAATTTTTTATAGTATAGTTGCTTTACAGTGACTCAGTGATAAGTGTACATGTATCCCCTCTTTGCTGGATTTCCTTCTCACTTAGGTCATCTCAAAGCACTGAGAACTTCCCTGTGCTATGCAGTAGGTTCTCATTAGTTACCTAGCTTACACATTTGTTGTTGTTGTTCAGTCATTCAATCGTGTCCAACTCCTTCTGACCCACGGACTGCAGTACCCCAGGCTTCCCTGTCCTTCACTATCTCCCAGAGTTTGCTCAGACTCGTGTTCATTGGGTCGGTGATGCCGTCCAACCGTCTTATTCTCTGTCGTCAGATAATCTTCCTCTGATAATCCTTCTCCTCCTGCTGTCAATCTTTCCAGCATCAGTGTCTTTTCCAATGAATCAGCTCTTCGCATCAGGTGGCCAAAGTATTGGAGCTTCAGCTTCAACATCAGTCCTTCCAATGAATGTGCAGGGTTGATTTCCTTTAGGATTGACTCGTTTGATCTTCTTGCTGTCCGAGGGACTCTCAAGAGTCTTCTCCAACACCACATTTCAAAGGCATCAATTCTTCAATGCTCAGCCTATTTTATGGTCCGACTCACAGCCATACATGACTACTGGAAAAACCATAGCTCTGACTGTACAGAACTTTGTTGACCAAGTTCTATCTCTGCTTTGTAATATGCTGTCTAGGTTTGTCATAGCTTTTCTGCCAAGGAGTAGCGTCTTTTAATTTCATGGCTGAAGTCACCATCTGCAGTGATTTTGGAGCCCAAGAAAATAAGATCTGCCACTGTTTCCATTTTCCTCTAGCTATCTGCCATGAAGTGATGTAAATGTTAAAACACACACACACACACACACATACACAAAACCAAAGAGGCCCCCTGGGCATCAGGCATCTTCTTAAGCAGTAAGAAGGGCCAGATGTGGGCCTCAAAGTGCCCCAGACACGGTCCAGACCCCTCGAGGGTCACCAGGTAGCAGGCAGCCAGTTCTGCGGGATTTATTTCCCACCCTCCAGCATGGCCCGTGGTAACACAGTGTCTGAATGACCACCACTTCCCGCTCACGGGACCCGATCGGCAGGATGTCATCGAGGTGATGGACCAACATGACGCCCTGTGGAGAGAAAGCTGGTCAGGAGCCCCGGAGCTCACCCAGTTGACCACATGTAAGATGTCTGGGAAGAAAGCCCTCCCCAGGAGACGCAGCCCAGGGCAGACACGTCTGGGCAGCTGAGACAGCGTCAGAATCTGGCCGGAGGGCAGAGAGAAAGCCAGAGACTGCACTCGGGGTCCTTCTCAGCCCTCAGCGCCACCCGGGAGGCTGGCAGAGCCCCACATTCCACGCTGCGGGAAGGTGATGTGCTCACAGGCGGCCCGGGGACCCCTTCCTGGGTCAGGAGGCCGTGGCAGCAGCCCATGAGGCCGAACATCTCTGATGGAGAGGAGGGACATGTCCCTCGGGGCAGTTGTTAGGAAGCCGGGCGGAGGCTGCCACCTCCTGGCCCAGGGAAGTAGCCTCGTGGTAGGAGCAGCCTGCTTCATGGCTAACACCCCCGCTCGGATTCCCAGAGGCCACTGCCCAGGTAAACTGAGGCAGGCGGCAGACAGCACACAGGAGCAAGGGGCCAAGTGGTGAAGCCACAACTGCGCAAAAGGGCATGAGAGGGGCCAAGGGAGAGAAGAGGGGAGGTGGAGGGAGAGGTGGGCGGGTCAGCAGGGGGGCAGGGGGCAGGTCAGCAGGGGGCAGGTGGGCGGGTCAGCAGGGGGGCAGGGGGCAGGTCAGCAGGGGGGCAGGGGGCAGGTCAGCAGGGGGGCAGGTGGGCGGGTCAGCAGGGGGGCAGGGGGCAGGTCAGCAGGGGGGCAGGTGGGCGGGTCAGCAGGGGGGCAGGGGGCAGGTCAGCAGGGGGGCAGGGGGCAGATCAGCAGGGGGGCAGGTGGGCAGGTCAGCAGGGGGGCAGGGGGCAGGTCAGCAGGGGGGCAGGTGGGCGGGTCAGCAGGGGGGCAGGGGGCAGGTCAGCAGGGGGGCAGGGGGCAGGTCAGCAGGGGGGCAGGTGGGCGGGTCAGCAGGGGGGCAGGGGGCAGGTCAGCAGGGGGGCAGGTGGGCGGGTCAGCAGGGGGGCAGGTGGGCGGGTCAGCAGGGGGACAGGTGGGCGGGTCAGCAGGGGGACAGGGGGCAGGTCAGCAGGGGGGCAAGGGGCAGGTCAGCAAGGGGACAGGTGGGCGGGTCAGCAGGGGAGCAGGTGGGCGGGTCAGCAGGGGGACAGGTGGGCGGGTCAGCAGGGGGACAGGTGGGCGGGTCAGCAGGGGAGCAGGTGGGTGGGTCAGCAGGGGGGCAGGGGGCGGGTCAGCAGGGGGACAGGGGGCAGGTCAGCAGGGGGCAGGTGGGCAGGTCAGCAGGGGGACAGGTGGGCGGGTAGATGGGGGACAGGTGGGTGGGGGGAAAGTGCCATCACCGAGTCCATGAACATCTTGGTGATGAGCAGTTAGTGGAGTGGGGTTCGGTCAGGCCTGGGGCCAAGAGTTCAAGCCCCAGTAAGTGGACGGGCGGAGCCAACCCCTCTGCACCCTGAGACGGGGGTGGAAGCCAACACCATGTTTTTAAATAAAGTTTATATGAGGATAGTTTCAGATTTACAAAAAGAAGTTGCAAAGATAAGTTCACCAATACCACTGCACCCCTACCGCCTCCCAATACCAGTGTCTGACGGGAGTGCTGGGTATCAGTCACAGCCATTCACTTAACAGGGGTCCATTATTACTGACTAGAGCCCATACGGCACTCAGCTTTCTTCAGTCCTTGTCTGCCCTCTCTTTTCTGAACGGGGCCCATCCTAAGACCCACACACACGGCTGTCCCATCTCCTTGGCTCCTCTGGGCCGTGACAGCTTCGGTGACCCTGGCCATGTGGGGGGGCGGGTGTGCAGGAGGACACCCCTCTGCTGGGGCTTGCCGGGTATTTGCGCCACAATCAGACCTGGGCTGTGGGTGTGGGCAGGAAGATGCAGGGGTGAGGCACCCGCCCGCTGTGTCCCATCGACACAGCCCTCGACACGCCTCATGCTGGCAGCGCTGCCCACAACCGCCTGGCTGAGGACTGCTTGCCGGAGCCCCAGGGGGACCGGAAAGAGGTGCTCCCCTGACGGGGGAGGGGCCACACCTGCTCCTTGGGGTTCTTCTGCACAGGCAGTCTCTCTCCTCTCTCACTGGTGTATTCAGCCTTCCTTTGGACCAGCACGGATATGGATGTTTGTTTAACATCCTGGGTTGTCATCAATCTGTTATTTATTCTGTTGCTCACAGCGTCCCAGCCATGGCCATGGGGAGCTATGTCAGTTGGCTCCCCTGACAAAACAGCTTTCTATTAACTGAGCAATTATTAGACGTGGGCAGGAAGAGGGAGAAAGGAGGAGGTCACTGGCCGGCAAAGACCGTTACACAGACACACGCGGGTGCACACGTATGCACATGCAGACATGTGCACGGGCTGGCACGCGTGTGCACACACACGTCCCGTGGACACGGAGAGAGGAGAGGCCCAGGCAGCTCATGGCGGGACCCTTGGCACAGGGTCCGTGCAGGGTGAGGGTCTGTCCCCCGGCCCAGTGCCTCCGACAGAAGCTGCTGTTCTGGGCGCCCTGCTGGCTTCCAGGAGCCCGCGCTGCCCTCGGGAGGGGCGGCCGCCCTGGGTGCCAGAGGGGAAGTGAGTGGCTGAGGGTCAGGCAGCTGAGTGAAGCCAGCACTTCCCCTCCAGATGTCACTTCCTGTCTCAGACCGGCTGTTGTAGCCCGAGGGTGTGGAAACAGGCTTCCTGGGGCAGGTGTGGACGGCACCCCACGTGGGCCAGGCTCCCCCCGCCCAGGCAATGGGCCCAGGGCAGGGGGGCCTCAATTAGAGGCCTGGACTTGAGGGGGTCTGAGGCGGGCTCAGTCGCCCGCAGCCCCGTCCCCAAGGAAGCCTTGTTTCCTGCCCACAGAGGGCCAGGGGCTGATGTGGGGAAACACAGTCAGGTCACCTGTGCCAAGTGCCTGGTGCAGGTCGGCACTCGGCAGGAGCAGGTCAAGAAGCCAGGTCTGACCTTTGGGAAAAGGTCAGGACATCTGCTTCCAAGTCAGAGGCAGACAGTTCCAGAAGTGAGGCCAGCAGGGTGGCGATTGGCTCATCTCTGCAGGAGGGCAGGTCCAGGCGGCCAGCCCCCAGCCCACGGCCCCGACTCCCACCCCCGTCCAGGACTTCCACTCCCGCTGGCCCCTTGGGCCGCCGCTCGGCTTCACCAGCTCGAAGCACAGGTTGGGATGTCAGGGCTCCCCTCCTGCCCCTGCGGACACAGAGCAGGATTCCTGGCACAATGGGGCAGCTGGGGGCACTGCGGTGGATGAGGGGTCCTGGCTGCCCCTGCTCTGAACAGGGAGAGGAAGGAGGTGGCGGAGCTGCTGGCTAGCACAGGCCGCACTCTGCTGGCTTCTAGAAGGCCAAGGCGTCACGGGAGACATTGTGACAGCTATCTGGGGCACCTGTCCTGCCCAGCTGAGGCCACCCAGTGCCCTGAGGACCCACATGATGAGATGTGGAAGCAGGGTGATTCCAGCACGGGAAGTGAGCTGTGCCCAGGTAGCCTGCTCCGGTCAGCCCTGGAGGATTGCAGAGGGGGCCCCCGCTGTTCCAGCTGGCCCAGAAGGGACCCAGTCTGGGGGCTCAGCACATGTCCCCCCCCAGGCCGCGCTGGGTCCAGCCGCCCACGAGCGCAGCCCCGGGTTCATGTCAGGAGGTTTAATCACGGACTCGAGCTCCGACAGAGCCTCAGCGTGGGTGCAGAGAGGGGCCCAGCCCCCTCCCCCTGCACACTCTGCTCTAAATTACTCATCTGTGCCGCTGAAGCATCGAAAATCAAGTGGCTTTTTGGAAAATGTTGATGTCACAGAACATTTTGAAAGGTGTTTCGTAAGACAGTGTTTCGATAGAGAAATTCATATACAGCCTCTCCCCAAAGTCCTGCGAGGACAGCCGCCCCAGGCGGGGCTCCCGGGGGTCCAGTCTCTGCTTGCACACTCCTGGGACGGGAAGCTCACCCCCACCCAGGGGCCCTCTCTCCTCGCCCACTTCCGCCCAGGGTCCTCCACCGCCCTGCCAGGGGCAAGGGCGCACCCTTCAGGGAGGCCTCATTTACCTGCTCGAGTCCTGGGGGCTTGGGCCAGGGGAGGGGCAGCAGGGGTATGGAAGCTGGCATTGTCCGCCCCGCCTCCTCCCTGCCCTTTCTCTGGGACACCCAGAGGTTCAGTTCCCGTGTATGCTGACAGACAGACAGACAGACGGGTGACCAACCGACCCAGCTCCTTGACGGGCAACTGTGGTCTGAGGTCCCCACCCAGCTGGAAAACAAAACCACAGTGGGAAGGGAGGGGAGGGGAGGGGAGGGGAGGGGAGGGGAGCGGAGGGGAGGGCAGGGGAGGGGAGGGGAGGGCAGGGGAAGGAGGGCAGAGGAGAGCAGAGGAACCTCCATGGAGCCTTGCCGTCGAGTCAGGGTGGCCAAATGCCAGATGCTGGCCACCAGCTTCTTTGTTCTGGTAACAGGCAAGCTGGGCAGGAGGCGGTGAGGGGTGGGGGGCGGGGGAGGCTGCGCCGCGGGGGAGAACTGCGGGTCCCCCTCCTAACACACATGCCCGCCCTGCTGCCCCTGTGCACGTGCACCTGGGGTCCTGCGGGCAAAGTCTTGGAGGCAAAAGGTTGCCCCACGAGCAGCGTTCATCCTCCTGCCAGGCAGCTGACCTTGAGGGCCTTTGGGTGGCTGGGGAACTGGGGTCGAAGAGAAGTCTCCCAGGGGCCTGGGGGGGGCTGGCCTCCTGCCCTTGGAGGTGCTCTCACAGGAGGGGGGAGCTGAGAGGGTTGGGGGTCCACAAACGGAACCATCGGAGGTTCTGGGCCCTTGGAGGCGCTGGACAGTGAGTGTGTGTGCTGGCAATGGGGGGATGTGAATGTGAGTCTGTGTGGTGTGTGTGATGGGGTGTGTGTGATGGGGTGTCTGTGTGTGGTGGGGTGTCTGTGTGTGTGTGCTGGGGTGTCTGTGTGTGCTGTGGTGTCTGTGTGTGCTGGGGTGTCTGTGTGTGTGGTGGGGTGTCTGTATACGATGGGGTATCTGTGTGTGTGGTGGGGTGATTGTGTGTGTGGTGGTGTGTCTGTGTGTGGTGGGGTGTCTGCATGTGTGATGGGGTGTCTGTCTGTGATGGGGTATTTGTGTATGTGATGGAGTGTCTGTGTGTGTAGTGGGGTGTGTGTGATGGGGTGTCTGTGTGTGTGGTGGGGTATCTGTGTCTGTGATGGGGTGTCTGTGTGTGTGATGGGGTGTCTGTGTGTGTGTGCTGGGGTGTCTGTGTGTGCTGTGGTGTCTGTGTGTGCTGGGGTGTCTGTGTGTGTAGTGGGGTGTGTGTGGTGGGGTGTCTGTGTGTGGTGGGGTATCTGCATGTGTAGTGGGGTGTCTGTGATGGGGTGTCTGTGTGTGATGGGGTGTCTGTGTGTGTGTGCTGGGGTGTCTCCGTGTGGGATGTCTGTGTGTGAGGGTGTGGGGGTAGGTGTCTGCAGCAAAGGCCCCACTGAGGCCACCCCCAGAACACCTAGAAGCCCTGCAGCTGACGCTGTGCCTCGCGAGGCCAGGGTGCAGAGATGGGTGGTGGGTGTGGGAGCCCAGCCCCGTGCCCACCAGCTGGACACGCCTGCCCACAGCTCCTGGGCTCCGCCATGGCTGCCACGGCCGCGCTCAGCTACTTCGGGCCCCACTTTGCCGTCATCAGCCACGTGTCCACAGACAGGAGCACCCCTGAGGCCGTGCACCGCTGGGGTGAGTGACGCTGTGGGTGGCCGCTGCTAGGGAGGGGGCTTCGGGGGCAAAGGCGGCTGGGGAGGAGCCCTGGGCGGCGGGAGGACCGCTGAGTGAAGCTGGGCTGGGGCAGGCAGCGGGGTCAGAGGCCGGAGGGGCCGCCCTGGGGTCCCAGCTCCCCTGGGCAGAGCCTGGGTCTGCCTGGATCTTCCTGGCCCCTGGGGCAGTGTGGGAATGTCAGGGGGTATCTAGGCCCTGTCCTCCACGTCCAGGAAGGGGTGCTCACCCACGCTGAGGCCTTGAGCAGCTCAGAAAGATGGCATCATGTGTCCCCAGCCCCACCCCTGGGGGTCTTGGCCTCAGGAGAGATCGCCAGAGGCAGAGGAGGGCAGATATGGTGAAAACCGAGGCTAGCGGGGAACGGTGGTCCTGGCCCCAGGCCTCCTGTTTTTATCTCGAGCCCCAAACCCCAGACCCCTGGGAGCAGGAAGCCTGGGGCTGGGCCTGGAATGATAAGATTACTAGCCTGTCAGCAGGGCCTGGGGGCAGGAACGGGCTTCTGATGGGGGGGGGCTGGGGGGGCAGTGCGGGGGGACGGGTGGAGGGGAGGGGGAAGGGGCAGTGCGGGGTGGCAGGGGGCGTGGTGGGCACATCCCTGCTGATAAGAAGAGGCCCCTTCAGGGCCCCTGGAAGCCCAGCAGCCCCGAGTCCACTCTTGCACACCTGGGACCCCTGCCCGGGCACCCTGACCGCCCCCCCCCCCCTGCCCCCAGCCTTCTTCGCTGGAATCATCCTGGCTGCACTCCTGACCCTGGGGGCTGTGCTGAGCACCACGGCCACTGTGAGAGGGGCCAGGGGCCTCATGGCTGCGGTGAGTGCTCCAAGCTGGGGGCTGAGGGAGCCCGCCTTGCCCCTGTGTCCCTAAGAAAAGCGAAGCCCAAGGGGTGTAGGACGGCCAAGACCCCCCAACCTGGGAGTCGGGACCCCTCAACCAGGGAGTCAGGACCCCCCCCCCCCACCCAGGAGTCAGGATCCCTCCACCCAGAGTCAGGAACCCCCAACCCGGGAGTCAGGACCCCTCAACCAGGGAGTCAGGATCCCCCCCACCCAGAGGTCAGGACCTGCCCACCCAGGGGTCAGGATTCCCCCACCCGGGAGTCAGGACCCCCACCCAGGAGTCAGGACCCCCCACCTGGGAATCAGGACCCCTCCACCCGGGACAGTTGGAACCCCTCCACCCGGAGTCAGGACCCCCCGCAACTCAGGAGAGTCGGGACCTTTTACCCAGGACAGCCAGGACCCCTCCACCTGGGCACCCTTCCCCAGGGGTGGTGTGATGGGCATTCTACCTCACCCCCATCATCCATGGGGGCTTTGAAAGGCAGCATTGTCCCTCCCGGCCTTGGATGCTGGTCAGAGGCCCAGAAGGTCTGGTTCTGTGATACTGGAGGCTCTAGGAACACAGTTTGGATGAATTCCACCCTTTAGGATGAGGCCAGGCCCAATGGGTCCCCCGTGGGTCAGGACTGGGCCGTGAGCCCAAGGCCCCAGGCTCCTCCCGAGCAGCATTCCCTCCGTGGCAGCGCCAGTGGTGGGGCTCCCTCCCCCGCCCCGACCTCGCCCCATAACAGGGGCCTTTGCTGCCCCCACGCCTGCTGCTCCTGCTGCCTGTCCTACTGCACCTGCCAGCCCCCGCTCTCGCCTGAACCGGGGCCTCGGCCCCTGGCTGGTGCTGTCACCTCACCCCCAACCCCTCTGGGGCTCCCCGAGACACCAAGTCTAGCCTTCCCGGGACTCCACGGGTCCCTGCGGCACCCACTTTCCGGCTTCCAGCCCTCTGCTCCCGCAGACCCCACCCCTACCCTGGGAGCAGTTCATGGGGCAGCACCCCCGGGAGCTCCTGACGGGGGCCGTGTTTCCCAGGTGGACTCTGAGGCTGCCAAGCCTGGGCTCCCTGGCAGCCTTCTGAGTCCCCACAGCCGGCAGGGTTTGTGGCCAGTGGTGTCAGCAAATGTGTTGAATGACTCCTGGGTTACAGACATCTCCAAGGCCAGGTAGCTCAGTTGGTAAAGAATCTGCCTGCGGTGTGGGAGACCCAGGTTCGATCCCTGGGTCAGGAAGATCCCCTGGATAAGGAAATGGCAACCCACTCCAGTATCTTTGCCTGCAAAATCCCATGGACAGAGGAGCCAGGTGGGCTGCAGTCCACGGGGTCGCAGAGTCAGGCACGACTGAGCGACACACCAAGGCCAGGGGCAGAGTCACCTCCCAGAGCCGGGCCGGGCCCTGGTGTGCTAGAGGCCCATCTGGCAGCTGGGTCCCAATCAGGACCCCATAGGACCATGGGCGGTGCTACCAACCTGGCCTGTGTGGTCCGGCTGGGCAGGGGACGGAGGGAGGCCCCAGGGGCATCCGACCAGGCAAGTGGACTGTCTCCCCGGAGGGGAGCCCTAAGGCCTGGGCCTGCTGCAGGGACTCGGGGCTGGAGGTCAAGGCTGCGGGCAGCGGGGCCAGACCCGGAGGTCCGGGCGGGGACAGCCTGCCGCGTCCGCCGCCAGGGGGCGCCATGGTGCCGGGCGCAAAGCCGCGGCCTGAAGCTGCTTCTGCCGAAGGCTCCTGTTGCCGGCTGGGGAGCTCCGGGCCAGGCCCTTCCCTCTCTCCCCCGACCACCGCGCTCTGCGCCCTGCTCTGGGGCAGGGACCGCGGAGCACCAGTGCCTCGGTTCTGCTTCCCTGCCCGGGACGCGGGTTGGGCGCCACCACTGGCCTCCTGCTGCACCCCGGGCTCCCGTGGGCCCCCAGCCAAGACGGGAGCCCAGCGCTGCCCCCGGGCGGCTGAGATGGAGTAGGGGGCTGGGGGACCCCACCCCCGTGCCCACCCGCTGAGCGGGGGCCGTGTGTGCACCCTGGGGTGCGGTGTTGCGTCTGGCATCTGTGTGTGTCTGCAGCGTGAGAGCCCCCGGGGGCTGGGAGAGGGCGATCTTTCCCGTCCTGCCCCCCACCTTCCTGCTGCTCCCCCTTCCTGCCCCCGCCTCCTCCCAAACCAGCCTCGCACACAGGAAATGAGCGGCTGAGAGCAGGGCTGGCCGCGCCAAGGAAGCCATTTGGATTTATTTATGCTGTTGTTTAGAATCAGGAGAGAGGGCGGCGGGCATGGGGCCCACCGCAGCCCGTGCCTCAGCGCACAGGTGGCCCGGGAGCCAGGCCCGTGTGCCACCCAGGACCCTCCGTGCAAGGCAGACGGTGGGCGGGACGGAGTGATGCTCCCTCTCCCGAGGAATGGAACAGTTCCTGGAAAATGCTTGTCCCTTGAGCTGGCTCCGGGCCTCCAGCCTGGGAGGCAGCACTGCGCAATGGCTTCCAGATGGGGAAGGAGGCCCGTGGCCAGCCTGGGGGCGGGAGGAGGAGGAGCGGGAGGAGGGGGAGGAGGGAGAGGAGGAGAGGGGGAGGAGGAGAAGCGGGAGGAGGGGGAGGAGGGAGAGGAGAAGGGGAGGAGGGAGAGAAGGGGAGGAGGGGGAGGAGAAGGGGAAGGAGGGGGAGGAGAAGGGGAAGGACGGGGAGGAGAAGGGGAGGAGGGAGAGGAGAAGGGGAGGAGGGGGAGGAGAAGGGGAGGAGGGGGAGGAGAAGGGGAAGAGGGAGAGGAGGAGAAGGGGAAGAGCGGGAGGAGGGAGAGGAGAAGGGGAAGGAGGGGGAGGAGGGGGAGGAGAAGGGGAAGAGGGGGAGGGGGAGGAGAAGGGGAGGAGGGGGAGGAGAAGGGGAGGAGGGGGAGGAGAAGGGGAGGAGGGGGAGGAGAAGGGGAGGAGGGAGAGGAGGAGAAGGGGAAGAGCGGGAGGAGGGGGAGGAGAAGGGGAAGGAGGGGGAGGAGGGGGAGGAGAAGGGGAAGAGGGGGAGGGGGAGGAGAAGGGGAGGAGGGGGAGGAGAAGGGGAGGAGGGGGAGGAGGGGGAGGAGAAGGGGAGGAGGGGGAGGAGAAGGGGAGGAGGGGGAGGAGAAGGGGAGGAGGGGGAGGAGAAGGGGAGGAGGGGGAGGAGAAGGGGAGGAGGGGGAGGAGGGGGAGGAGAAGGGGAGGAGGGGGAGGAGGGGGAGGAGAAGGGGAGGAGGGGGAGGAGAAGGGGAGGAGGGGGAGGAGAAGGGGAGGAGGGGGAGGAGGGGGAGGAGAAGGGGAGGAGGGAGAGGAGGGGGAGGAGAAGGGGAGGAGGGGGAGGAGGGGGAGGAGAAGGGGAGGAGGGGGAGGAGGGGGAGGAGAAGGGGAGGAGGGAGAGGAGGGGGAGGAGAAGGGGAGGAGAAGGGGAGGAGGGAGAGGAGGGGGAGGAGAAGGGGAGGAGGGGGAGGAGAAGGGGAGGAGGGAGAGGAGAAGGGGAGGAGGGAGAGGAGGAGAAGGGGAAGAGCGGGAGGAGGGGGAGGAGAAGGGGAGGAGGGAGAGGAGAAGGGGAAGAGGGGGAGGAGGGGGAGGAGAAGGGGAGGAGGGGGAGGAGAAGGGGAGGAGGGAGAGGAGAAGGGGAGGAGGGAGAGGAGGAGAAGGGGAAGAGCGGGAGGAGGGGGAGGAGAAGGGGAGGAGGGGGAGGAGAAGGGGAGGAGGGGGAGGAGAAGGGGAGGAGGGGGAGGAGAAGGGGAGGAGGGAGAGGAGGAGAGGGGGAAGAGCGGGAGGAGGGGGAGGAGGGGGAGGAGAAGGGGAGGAGGGGGAGGAGAAGGGGAGGAGGGGGAGGAGAAGGGGAGGAGGGGGAGGAGGGGGAGGAGAAGGGGAGGAGGGGGAGGAGGGGGAGGAGAAGGGGAGGAGGGGGAGGAGAAGGGGAGGAGGGGGAGGAGAAGGGGAGGAGGGGGAGGAGGGGGAGGAGAAGGGGAGGAGGGAGAGGAGGGGGAGGAGAAGGGGAGGAGGGGGAGGAGGGGGAGGAGAAGGGGAGGAGGGAGAGGAGGGGGAGGAGAAGGGGAGGAGGGGGAGGAGAAGGGGAGGAGGGAGAGGAGAAGGGGAGGAGGGAGAGGAGGAGAAGGGGAAGAGCGGGAGGAGGGGGAGGAGAAGGGGAGGAGGGAGAGGAGAAGGGGAAGAGGGGGAGGAGGGGGAGGAGAAGGGGAGGAGGGAGAGGAGAAGGGGAAGAGGGGGAGGAGGGGGAGGAGAAGGGGAGGAGGGAGAGGAGAAGGGGAAGAGGGGGAGGAGGGGGAGGAGAAGGGGAGGAGGGAGAGGAGGAGAGGGGGAAGAGCGGGAGGAGGGGGAGGAGAAGGGGAAGGAGGGAGAGGAGAAGGGGAGGAGGGGGAGGAGGGGGAGGAGAAGGGGAAGGAGGGAGAGGAGAAGGGGAGGAGGGGGAGGAGGGGGAGGAGAAGGGGAGGAGGGGGAGGAGGGGGAGGAGAAGGGGAGGAGGGGGAGGAGGGGGAGGAGAAGGGGAAGGAGGGAGAGGAGAAGGGGAAGAGGGGGAGGAGGGGGAGGAGGGGGAGGAGGGGGAGGAGGGAGAGAAATAGAGGGAGGATGGGGAGGAGAGGAGGAAGAGGCATCCCAGAGCCATCTGGAGACTGAGGCCTGGTGGACCCCTGGGCAGGCAGGAGGAAACATGGGGTGAAAGCTGGTGGGCCTCCCGCCCCTGAGCAGAGCTAGAGGTCCCTGTCCCTGCGTGGAGTCTGGGAGCCGGCGGGCTGGCCCCCTCTCCTGGAGCCTGGTGGACGCACCGCTGCACGCCCACTAAGTGTGGAGCAGAAGGAACAGTCTCCATCCCTGTCCAGCCCGGGCAGTGTCAGTGTGTCTGCACCGGGGTGTCCCTCCATGCTGGCCATGGACCCCATGCTGGCCACGGACTCTCTGGTGTCACCCCAGTAAGGCCCCTGGGTTGGGACAGCCTGGCCACTCGGGCCCAGCAGCAGACAGTCCCGCTCCCAGGAGGGAGCGATACTGGACTCCAAACCCCTGAGCCAGGTGGTCAGCAGGCGGACTGACCATCCAGAGCTCCTGGAGGCGGCTCAGCCCGAGGCCTGAATGGGAGCATCCCCAGCACAAGGTGACCAGTCAGACCACGGGGGGGGCGGGGGGGTGTGGCGTCCCCAGGGCAAGCAGAGGCCTAGGCAGCCTGGGGTGAGCCTCTGAAACGACCCACAAAAGAGCTTTGGGGACGTGTGTATTTTCAGGGGAGGGGACAAATAGCTTCAGAAACCCCGTGAGAGAAAGGGTCCACCAGAGCCCGGGGCCCGGGGATTGGCAGGAGGTGGACGGGCCCCCTGGGTCCTGGAGGGCACGTTGGTGGGAAGAGAAGCACGTCTGCTGGGGGTCACCCCATCTCAGGGTGCCCACTGGGCCATGCTCTTGGCTAGAACCCCAGCTCCTGAACCTCCAGGAGGCCTGTTTCAGAAAACCAAGCAAAACCAATTGTCCCTTCTGGAAAAGGCCCTTCCTATGCAAGCAATCCCCTGATGGCTCAGTCGGTAAAGAATCCACCTGCAATGCAGGAGACCCGAGTTTGATCCCTGGGTCAGGAAGATCCCCTGGAGGAGGGCGTGGCAACCCGCTCCAGTATTCTTGCCTGGAGAATCCCATGGACAGAGGAGCCTGGCGGGCCACAGTCCAAGGGGTCAGAGTCGGCCACGGCTGAGTGACGAAGCGCAGCACATCCAGGGCAGCTGCACCCCCAAGCCGCCCTCCGGGCCAGACCACTTGAAGGGGGCACGTGTTCTGAATCTGAATCTCAGGCTCAGGGAAGCCCCCCCGCCCCCCGGCCTTTCTGGGGTCGGTGCCTTTCCCGGCCGCAGGTTCAGACGGCAGGGTTCTCCCTCATCCCGGGGCCTGACCGCCCGCCTCCCTGGCGCCCTGGGAAGCCAAAGCCGGCTGTGGGGGCCTCCCGAGAAGGGCCTAGAGAGGCCTGGGAGCCAGCGTGCCCCCGCCGCAGGCCTGCCCTCGGCAGGGGGAGCCGCCGGGCCACGGCGGGCCTGGACTCAGGTGCCTCCTCTCCCGCCCCCTCCCAGGCCTTCCTGAGCTTCGCCCTGGTGTTCTGCGCCCTGGCGCAGGCGGCCTTCTGGAGGCTCCACAACCCCACCCAGGTGAGCGCGCCCGTCACGCAGGGGAGGGCCCCTGCTCCCTCTCTCCTGCGGTCACCGGGGGCGACGGGCGGGTGTGGGGACCACGCTGCGGACACTCTCTGCCTGCGGCCGACCCTCTGCTGGACTGCGAGCAGCAGCTCCCGGGGCAGAAAGGAGGCAGGTGCAGGCCGCGGACACCCGCTTCTCTCTAAGGCCCCCCAGAGGCCCGGGAGATGGCACCTGGGGCTTGGGGGAGGGGAGCCTCCCAGGCCTGCAGGGCTGACTGGGGGGTCAGCTCCAGAAAACGCAGCTCCGAGGACTGCACTCCTGACGGGGGCCGGGCCTGGCCGGGAGAGAGGCCTGTTGGCAGTGGGGGCGCGGGACGGGGGACGCGGTGTCCAGTGGCCCTTCAGGGCGGGCCCTGGCCTGCTTGTAGGTGGGCTGCCCGGGCGACCCGCTCCTCCCATGGTCACTGGGGGCTCTTCCCAGGGACGCTCACGTCGGTGGTGACCGTGGCGATGGTGGGCGTGGGTCCTGTTGGGGGGGCTCTGTTCTCCTTTCCTTCCTCCGTCCACCCACCTGTCCGTTCCCTGGGTGCTGCTGCTTCCGAGCGACCCCGGGGCGGCTCGAGGCTGGCAGGGAGTGAGGCCCCAGTTCTGATCATGCAGTCACGTGGGACGCCGGCCCCCGGACAACGGGGCTTGAAGCCTGTGGGCCCAGGTCTAGGGTGCGCACAGCCCCAGGGAGGAGGTCAGGACCACAGCTTGGGAGGGACTGCTCCCATGTGACCAGGGGCGGGGTCAGCCTGGCCTTCCAGAAATTCTGCCTGAACTCCAGGCCCTGAGACAGAGCTGAAAGCCTTCCTGGGAAACAGGACTGGTCAAGTCCATGAGCAGAGCCGAGTCCTCCCAGACCAGGGCTGGGGGTCAAGGTCAGAACTTCTGTGGCCAGACAGAGGAAATGGGTGCTCAAGAGGTTCAGAGAGACGAGGACGCAGCCCCGCATGGGCTCCTGTTTGCAGGGGCCGAAGACTGGCAGGGCCGGGAGGGTCCACAGTCGGCTGAGGAGGGGGCGCCGCTGGTCCACGTGGCGGGTCTCAGCTGGGCAGAGTGAGGCTGGCCAACACCAGTGCCCACCACGCCCCGTGCCCGTGGCCCCGACAGGCTCAGCTTCACTCCCCAGCCGAGCCAGTAGTCTGAAGGGCAGCCCCCGGGTGCCCCTCCCAAAGGGGCTGCTCTGCCTGAGTGGCCAGTGCCTGCAGGGGCCTCCCCCCAGCCCCCAGGATTGGACACAAGCCAGGCAGGAGAACTCGGGCCCAGGCTTTGCCTGTGAGAGCCAAGCCCCAGGCCAGACCCCAAAGCAGTCCCTGGGAGCCCAGCCCCACAGACCCTGTCCAGCCAGACTTTCTGAGACCCTGAGCGCGCCTTTCTCCTCTCCTTGGGCTTCAGATCCCCCTGCACTCCATAAGGACCAGCCCGGGGAGACCATGGCCACTCCTGCTGGGGGACACTGCTGGGGGGCGGTGGTTTAGTCACTAAGTCGTATCCGGCGCTTGCGACTATAGCCCGCCAGCCTTCTCTGGCCACGGGATTTTCTAGGCAAGAATACTGGAATGGGTTGCCACTTCCTTCTCCGGGGGGGTCTTCCTGACCCAGGGATAGAACCCAGGTCTCCTGCACTGGAGACACATTCTTTATCGACTGAGCCACGAAGGAAGCCCTGGAGGATGCTGGGTTTCCAGGCAAAGCCCCTTGCAGGCAGGTGACCGGTGGCGTATGTCTGACCGCGTGTCAGGGACCCCAGCGGCCCCGGCCCCTGGCTGCACGGGCACCCCGAGATATTCCTGCACTATGCAGAGAATGGTGGGTCAGGAGGCCAAGCTCGTGCTGTGCGCTTTGAGGTGTGTGGTTACCACTCTAAAGCCCGGAGGGCTTCCCTGGCGACTCAGTGCGTAAAGAGTCCGCCTGCGGTGCGGAAGAGCCGTGTTCGATCCCTGGGTTGGGAAGATCCCCTGGAGAAGGAGATGGCAACCCACTCCAGTATTCTCGCCTGGAGAATTCCATGGACAGTGGAGCCTGGTGGGCTGCAGTCCGTGGGGTCACAAAAGTCGGACACGACTGAGCGACTAACACTTTCACATTTTTCTTTACCCACTCTGGCCCTGTCCTCCCTTACCCGCAGCACAGGCCTAGTTCCTCCGTCCCCCTGCCACCGCTGAACTCCTTGGAGTTGAGGAGGCCATCCCCAGACCTTCCAGGGCGGTGCCATCCTCTTGGTCCGCAGATGGAGGGACTCAGGCCCACGGGGATGGGGAGGGGGCCAGGTCACCCTGGCAGAGCCGGAGCCAGAGGGGGCCACCGTCAGCACTCTTAGCCCTGAGTCAACACCTTTTTTCCTGTTTCTGCCCAAAGATCACCCCAAACTGTTCACCACCACCCTGGCATCATCTGGGGTCACCCACCCCTGACCAGAGGGGGAAGAGGACATTCCCTCTGGTTCTTGGGGGGTTCAGACCCCGGAAAGGCAGCCTCGGCTCTCGGTGACCCAGGAGCACTGCGCCAGGCTGCTGACCCACCACCCAGGAGCCGCCGGGCCAGGCAAGGTCTGGGTCGCCATGCGGGTGGTCCCTGCCAAGACAGCTGCCAGGGTGCCCGGGCCGGGCAGCTCCCCCCGGGCGGCTGCAGCCCTCCTTCTTGGCTGTGACCCTGTGTTTACAGCTCGAAGCCCATGGCTGGTGGGTCTGCGGAGGCGGGGCTCACAGGCCGAAACCCTTCTGGGGCTCCCGCTCTGGGAAGGGGAAGGGGTGGAAACAGACAGGACCCAGCTGGGCCTCCTCCCTGCACGGCCCCCGCCCCCCCAAAGAAGTCGTTCTGATCTCGTCTGTGCTGCAGCTGGCCTTCGGGGTCCAGTGTTTGGGCCCTGGCTGGCCCCGGGGCGGGCTGGGGCTTCCTCCCACACCTGCATGGACGCAGGGGGGGCCTGGGTGGGGTCAGCCTCGCGCCCGGCGCTCTTGGGCAATCAGCCCACCTTCCTGGGCCTCCGTGTCCTCGTCTGTAAAGGAGTATGAAGACCTCCCTGTGCAGGAATGAACGAGCACAGGTGAAGGGATGAGCGGAACCTGCCTGCAGCCCCCGAGCCCGGGTCTGACCTCCGTATCTGCACTCATGAGGGCACGGGCCCCGGGTGGCAGGGGCCGAGGAGCCGCCTGTCCTGTGCCCCTGACCCCGGGGAACCTGCGGAGGCCTTGGCGTCAAGGCCAACCCAGGCCAGCAGATCTCGCCTTCTTCCCTGGGGTCCTCCTGGAGGCAGAAGCAGAGACTCTCAAAGGGCAGTGCATTTGCTCTAAGGGGGTCTGTCACCCCCATTTCTCCCCTGGAACCCCCCGAGAGACCCTGAAACACGAGGTCCAGATGGCCCGTCTACCTGCGGACGGCCGTGACTTCCGGTGGCCCCGGAGCCATCCCGCAGGCCCCCAGCCCCCCTCCCAACCTCAGGCCCTGGTAGCTGCCCTGAAGCTTGGCGGGCATTCAGCAGGACTAGGCGGCCGTGCTGTGAATACAAAGCTTGAGGGCGCCTGAGAGCCGCTCTGCCCAGTCCCCAGACAGGCCTGCGGGCGATTAACCGCCAGGCCCCGCTTAATAATTCAGGCACGGATTGAGTACGGCGGTGCCCGAGCTGGTGTAAGGCTGCCTGTCCCCCAGCTTCCGGGCTGGGCCCCGCCCCTGGAGGCCACTCTCCTTCCCCAAGGTCCAGGGCAGCCCTGCAGCCCTGGGAGACAGAGTTTAAAGATTAGGGTGCCCTGCAGGGAGCACCCAAGTCTCAGGGCCCAAGGGCCTCTGAGACCTCCCAGCACCCCCCAACTTCTCTCCTAGAGACACACAGGACCCCTGAGCCCCTGAGCCCGGGCCCCCAAGGGGCACCACCCACCCAGGCACTGGGCCTTGGGAGAGTCTGCCTGGCCCCCGCGTCCAGGCCAGGGGTCTCGGGCAGGGTGTGGCTTTGTCGGATCCACCTCTTCACCCAAAGGAGGAGCTTGTGGCCCCCACTTCTGGGGATGGGTGTGGGTGGGGAGGCAGGAAGGGGTAGACACGCACAGCTCAAGCCCCAGTGGGCGTCCCCTCCAGCCAGCGTTGCTGGGAGCAGCACCCCACCTCAGAGGGGCCGCGGTCTCCCTGGGCCCTAGTGGGGGTTGGGGAGAGCTAGACCCCCATCACGGCCTCCTGCACCCCTGACCCCAGGCTGGCTCCAGGCCCCCCCCCGGGACCTCCTCCCACAGAGACCAGGACAGCCTGGCCGGTCTCCACCCCCAAGACAGGGCCCCTCGCCAGGCCTCCTGCAGGAGGGGCCAGCCTGGCGCTTGGCCCCCCGCCCAGGACGCTGCCCACCTCCCCCTCGGGTAGGGAACAAAGCCACCGGAGCATCCGGGCAGCTCTGAGATCCGGGTCTCACCAAGGGGTGATGAGCTCTGAGTGCGATGCTGGGGGTGCAGACCCGCCCATCCCTACAGGGGCGCCAGGACTTTGGGCAGCACTGGGCAACGCCGCCCCCTGCCCGCCTGCCCCCAAGACCTCCAGGCTGGGACTGGGGAAGCCGCTTCCTTTCTGGAGGGCGGGGTGGCTGCCCAGAACAGGGTACCCCTGAGCACCCGCCCACCCATCCCAGCGGGCGCGCGACTCGGGGGCAGGAAGGGAAGGGAGGCTGGGCTCAGGGTCTCTGAGGCGGGAAAGGAGGGCGGGGAGCTCAGAGGCCTTGCCCATGCCAGCCCAGTGACCCCAGTGCAATCACAGAAGACTCCCTGGAGGAGGCAGGGTTCCAGTTTGCCTCTGGAGAAATAAGTTGCAAGGGGAGGACAGTTCAGAAGGCACAGAAGCTAGGCAGACGGAAGGAGGTCTGGGGGAGGGGGTACGGCGTGAAGGCAGAGCTCCTCTCTTCCGTCATCCCCAAGGGGCCTCATCAGCCCTGGGTACTTAGGCCTTGCCTGGAGCCCAGCTGTCTGGGCTTTCCAGAACATGCCGGATGGATCTGTGGGAAGACCTGGAGCATCCCTGTGAGCTGAGCCCCGGCACGAGGCGGCTCCTGGCCGTCTCCCCCAGGCCCACCCTTGCCTTTCCCTCCCCACCATGCGTTTCCAGATCAGCAGAAGCAGGTGGACACTTAGGCCGGGCCCTCCTCCACCGTAAGACAAGAGTTGGTTTACCCTGCAGGACCCCCAGGGGCGAGGGTGGCATCAACAATCGTTCTTGGGGGGAGGTCCCCACAGCTGGAGCTCGGGAACCCCTGTGACCAGCACCCGGGGGACGCAGGCCCTGCTCCAGGGGTCCCGGTCCCCAGGGAGCAGGAGGAGGAGGAGGCCGGCTGGGCGCTGCTCAGCACCTGAGACCCTCGGGGGGGTCTGTCAGGGACGTGAGCTTCACCGGCACGGCCTTCCCGGTGCCCTCTGCACAGGTGGAGGACGCCGTGCTGGATGCCTACGACCGGGCCTACGACCAGGCGGTGAGGAGTGCGTCCGGAACTGGGCGGCAGGAGCTGGTGGCCATCCAGGACACAGTGAGCATGTACAGGAAGACCCCTCTGGGGCAGCTCTGGGCGGCCTGCCATCCAGAAATGGGGCACAGGGGAGCAGCCCCCCAGAGCCAGCTGGCCGGGTGCTGAGCTGAGGGTCCTGGGTCACCACGCCACGGCTGGGGGAGGCGCAGGGCAGAGCGCACCCGTCTTCCGTCCGCCCTGGGAGGCCCGGCTTCTGAGTCCGCGGGCCCAGAGCAGAGGGCGAGGGCCCGCGTCCACACGTGAGCTTCCAGATGGAGGTGGCACAGCCCATCCCGGGGCACGCAGGCCAGGCTGCTGGGAGCTGGGTGCCCCCTACGCCTGGCCCTGAGCCCCCATCCCGGCCTGGGGTGGGGCGCAGGGAGGACGTCGCGCCTCGGTTTCCCCTCTGCCCCTGGGGTTCTCAGAGCAAACCGCCTCCCTCTTCTGCCTCTGCAGTTCTGGTGCTGTGGCAAGAGCTCGCCCCTCGGGCTCCTGGGGGGCTCGGAGGCTGACCTGTGTCAGGGGGAGGAGGCCACCAGACAGGTGAGGGGAGGGGCCCGCCACCATCCCTGGGGGCTCAGCCACTGGCTGCCCCAGACCCTCCCAGGGAGGGGGCTGGCCTGGGCTGGGGTCACTTGACCCAGCTGGGCCCGGGTGCTCACTCCTTCGCACAGCTCTCAGCTGGGCAGACTGAGACCCTCCCATCAGAACCCTCTAGAAGGGCAGGGGAGGGTAGGAGACCCAGGGACTGAGCTGTGCCGAGCGCCCAGAGAGTGCGGTGGGCGGCTCTGCCTGGGCTGGGGTCCCCAAAGCCAGAAGGACATTTCCTGGAAGGTCAGCCCAGGCCTGAATCTGGCCAGGAGGGCGTCAGAGGCAGGGACCCTCTTCTTCCCAAAGACAGTGGCTTCCCCTCCCCCCATCCCCTGGCTCCCCTCCCCCACCCATAGGAACAAATTCGCCCCATCTCTGGCAAGAGGCTCCTGGCCACCCTCCAAGAAACAGACAGGAGGATGCAAATGGCTGGAGGCCCAGCCCAGGACGGAACCAACACAGCGCCCTGGGCCCTGGTGCTGGCGGGGGGCAAGGGCAGAGGAGGGATGGGGGGGTGGGAGGCCTGTTTAAACCACCAGGGGGAGGCCCCAGGTCCTCGCCTGCAAAGTGGGGGTGAAGGCCAGCCTCCTGCACCTTCTGAGAGGGCAGGCGACACGGGAGACGGTGAAGGCCTTGTGGGAAGGCACCCCTCGGGGAGGGGGCGGGAGGGCGGACCCCCTGTCACTTCCTAACAGGAAGTGCAGCCTCGGGGGCGGGGACGAGAGCCTGTCAAAGGGATTCACGGGCAGATGGACAGACAGACACCAAGCCGGCCTCCTCTCCCCCAGCTCGGGCTTCAGAGCCCAACGCTGCCTGCCCCACCGCATACCCTGCCCCAGCCTGCCCCCGGAGCACCAAGTCCTTCCCCGGAGCCGAAGTGGTTCAGAGCGGGGGCGGTCCCCTCCCTCTTCCTTGGAGACAGCGTGCCTCTGTGGACACCACGCCCTGGGGAGGCTGGGGAGTTTCAGGATGGAGCAAGAACGCCCCTCCCTCTTAGCCAGCGCCCTTTCCTCAGCCAGGCTCTGCATCCCACCCGCAACAGGGAACCTGGGACCCAGAGTAACTGGGTCTCAGCCTACCCTGGGGGCAGACACATGGCCCAACACGGCTGCTTAGCGTTCACCCAGAGGCAGGCCCCGCTGGACCTCCGGAGCCCCTCATCCCCACAGAGGCAGGTTCCTTCCTGCTTGTCTCCGCCTGTCTGCAGTGCCTGTCCGGAGCTCGGGGCGGGTCCCGGGACAGGCGGCACCCCTAGCCTGGGTCCCAGTGGCCGCTGCGGCCCCACACCCCTTGAGAAGGTGCCGTGCCCGGGCCGGGAGGGGCAGTCCAGGCCCACACGCTGCCCTCTGTCCAGGACTGCCTGCGGGGGATCCAGAGCTTCCTGAGGGTGCACGGGAACATCGTCTCCACCCTGATCGGCCTGGGCCTCGCCTTCACGGTAGCTCTCACTGCCCCCCCGCAGCCCTCGTCCCCCACGGCCCCCACCCCCAGGGTCCTGGGGACCTGCAGGCTCGCCCTGCACGGGGAGCAGGGAAGAAAAGGCCTGGGGGTGACATGGCCTCCCTGACTCCCTTCCCCCCGGGGGGGGGACGGTGAGCCCCCAGAGCTTCTGGGACAAGTGCTCCCCCCCCCACCCCAGGTGTACGCAATGCTGCTTACTTCCTTCATCTGGTTCACCATCCACTCGCGCAGATACTCCGTGAGCCAACGGTAGGCCCGCCCGCCCCGGTGCCACCACCTCCCCAGAAGGGTCCTACAGGCCTGCAGGTGCGGGAGGAGGGCAGAGAGCACCACCCCTTCCCGCTCCCAAGATCCCGCCTCTGCCCAGTTGTGGGGCCCCTGGACGAAGGGCCGAGGCAGACACCCTAGGGAAGGTGCTTGGGGGCAGCAAGCACTCGGCCAAGCAGGCTCCGCCCCCTCCCCACCCCTGCAGACACGGGGTCTCACAGTGGCATCTCCACCACTGTGGGGAGACAGGGCTGCTGGAGCCCCCAGGAGAGCCCCCTGCCTCCATCCACGCCACAGGCTCTGCCACCACTGACCCGGCCTCTGCTCTGGCCACCTGCACGCCCTCCAGGCCCAGATCCCCGGGCGGCCCCTCTGTGTTCTCACCACCCCTCTGCCCCTCAGGGCCCACAGCTGCCCTCCCCAGGAGCACAGAGTCTACAGACACATCCAGGAGGGATCCCGGTCTCCTCGCCGCCCGTCCAAAGCGGACGCTCCCAAGGGCCGTCTGAGTCCAAGCAGACGCTCTGGTCAGCTTCTGCTGCCCCGGGACACCCACCCGCCTGCCCATGGGAGCGGAGACGCTACAGTCTGCACTCGCATGTAACCCTTGTGGGAGGGGAGGCGCTGTTTCCCTCCACGTGGTGGGGTGGGGGGGAGAGGAAGCTTGACTAGACAGCACCTCCATTTAAGCCGACAGGGGGTTGGGGGAGCAGGGGTCAACCGCAGACTCTGGGGAGGCTAGCGGGGTGAGAGTGCACTCAGAGGGAGCACAAGGTGGGCTTGGTAGGGCTCCCTGGCCCCCCACCCCCAGGCTCTGGGGAGATGGGAGGACCCACTGCAGGCTCGGGCAGACTGGGGGCAGTTCAGTTCTGCGCAGCGTCAGGACTGAGGCCCCACCCGCGTGGGCTGTCCGCGGGCTGCTCTCCTCCGGAGGCCGCTTCCCCTCCTCACACCGCCCCCCATCCTCACGTCGCAGGCAGGAGGGCTCCTGCTCCCCCTGACCCTCCGGGCGGGAGGGCTGTCTGCAGGCCCAGGTGGTTAGGTGAGGACCACCCGGTGACCTCCCCAGCATAAGGAGAAATCACGTGTGCAGTGATGCCGTGCGCACGGTCCCGGGGTTGCATCTGAGAACTCCTGCCTGCTACCGCACCCCTGCCCGCCATCCGACCACCTGACAACTGGCATCCTGGGCTCAAGTCCCAGAGTCCTGGGCGGGACCCCAGACTGGCCCAGCCCAGCTCGGGGGCCCCATCGTGGCTGCCAAAGGACAAGGGAACACGGCCCGGCCCGTTGAGCTTCCACCAAGGGGGTGCAGCTCCGCCCCCACCGAAACTGGCAGAGTCGGCTTCTTCCCCAGCAAGGAGCAGCGTCTGTGAGGTGCAGCCGAACGGGGACAGAGTGACCAACACCCGCTGCCTGCAGTCACACACCCTCTCCGCAGTACACCTCCCAGAGCTTTGTCCCCCCGGGACAAAGCAGACTTGCGCCGGAAGCTCGTGGGCAGAAGCCTCGCGGTTCCGCGGTTCTGGGTTTGGTAACCGTCCAGGGCTTCTAGGGAGGTGTGTTCCTCTCCCGGTTCTGTTCTCATCTTACAAAATAAACTTGAAGGAAGGCACCAGTACTGGTGGGAAGAAGCGGGAACGGGCCTGTAGTAGGGATTTCCCGGGCAGTCCGGCGCTGGACGCTCGGCGCTTCCACCGCAGGGGCCGAGCAGCGGGGCCGAGGACCACAGAGGACGAGAGAAGGCGGGCGTCAGGGTCGGATTCCGTAGACACGGATGTGAGCGCGCAGGAGAAGGGTCTGCGCCGCAAGCTGCGGGCGCGCGCGCTCCCTCCGCGGCCAGGCTCGCCGCCCCTCTCTCGCCCCACCCGGTCCAGGCCCCCTCCCCTGCTTCTCCCGTTGGTGAGCCCACTCCTCGTGGGGAGGGTGCTGGGAAGGAAGGCCTCCTTCCTGGGGTCACCTCTGCCGTGGGCTCATCACCCCCTCGTCCCGCCCTCACTCAGGAGCAGGACCCCATTTCCTCTTGATCCCGTCACCCACCCATCACCGTGGCCCCCTTCCGGGCCCCTGAATCCACTGGCAGAGGAGCCCCGGTGGGCCAGGTGGGGCCCCCACCTTCTTCCAACCCAAGGTCACCACTGTTTTGTTCAAAGCATCCCTTTGCTGGGACTGAAAACCAGGCAAGCGGGGACCAACGGGGGCGAGAGGCGGAATGTTTGCCAGCCGCCCATTCACTCTAATCACAGGGAGCGGGCGCCCCCCACGCGGCCTCCACCCCGTGCATCCTGATTTGGGGGAGATGGCGGCATTGACTAGCATGTCCTACAGGACACAGGGCCACTGTCACCCCACTGTCCAGGCCATGGTTCTAAACGATGCCAGGGCTGGGCTGCCATCCCATGGGGTCTTCTGCTTGAGGAGCGTGGTCCGGGGTGGCCCTCGGGGAGCCCAGGGCACCTCCCCTTGCCTTGCTCCTCTGGCTGTAAGGTCAGCTCCTTGCCCAGAAACAGGGATCCGTGAGGAACTAGGACGGCAGCAGGGCGTTAAGTCGGTAAATAAGGGAAGTAGGGGCGCGGGCAGGGGGCACTCACATGCAGGACGAGGGCCGGCTGATGGGAACCATCACTGCCCCTCCCATGAAGCGGGGGCCGTGTTCACCAGCATAACTCGCCAGGTGGGCCGTGACTTCTGGGGAGGTTGGCACTGAACTGTGGACGCAGGAAAGTAGGCGGCCTCCCCCATGTTGGGGGGCACCAGCCGGTCCCCCGAGGCCTGAACGGAACACAACGGGAGGAAAAGAGAACGCGCCCTCCTCCGGCCCCACCCCTTGAGCTGGGGCGGCTCCTGGCACCTCCTCCTGCCCTCAGACCCGGGTTTACAGCATCGCTGGGGCTCAGGCCTCCAGACTTGGGCTGGATGACGTCACCAAACTGGCCCTCCTGAGCCACCAGCGTGCCCATTCCCAGCCCCATAACCACGAGAGCTATTTCCTCGTAGTACATATTTTATAGACAGGAGGGTAGGTAAATAGCTGGATGATAGGTGGATGGGTGTATGGATGGAAGGGTGGAGAGATAGAAGAATGGAGAGATGGAAGGGTGGAGAGATAGATGGGTGGATGAACGGAGGATGGATGGATGGGTATAGAGACAGATATCCCACTGGTGGGCTTCCCAGGTGGCATCAGTGGTAAAGAACCTGCCCACCAATGCAGGAGACTTAAGAGATGCGAGTTCCATCCCTGGGTGGGAAAGATCCCCTAGAGGAAGACATGGCAGCCCATTCCAGCATTCTTGCCTGGAGAATCCCAGGGCAGAGGAGCCTGGCGGGCCCCAGGGGATCACGAAGAGTCAGACACGACTGAGTGAGTGAGCACGCATGCGCACATCCCACTGGCGCGGTTTCTCTGGAGGCTCCTGACCGACACGGGGTCTCACGTCCGTGAACCTGCTTCCAGGGGGCAGGCCGGTCTCCCGGAGGTACTGCATTGTGGCTCAGAGCGGGACGCGTGACTGTGACAGTCTGGCATGCAGCTGTAGGGGGGGTCCTGCTGGGCCCACGGGCGGCTCCTCTCCCCGCCCTCTGCTTTTCACCGGGCCAGCAGGCAGCACGGGACTGGTTGGGGAAGGAGACACTGCCTGCCTGCCACGGGCTCCAAGGACCTTACAAGAGTCCAGACCCCCAACCTCACTGGGCGATGGGGAGCTGCTGGCCTGCCCAGCTACACGACCTAGTGCCTGGATGACACCCTCTTTACGACGGGCAGCTCGGGTCACCCTGCCACCCCATGTGCAGGGGGCCACCTCTTCCCCGGCCCAGATGGGAGCCGAATGAGAAGTCCCAAAGGGGAGGTCCTTGCAAAGGGCGCGGCTGTGTGCCCACACAGGACTGGCACCGGCATTCTGCATCTCAGCTTCCCCAGCAGCCGCTGGGGCCCTGGGGTCCCTGGGTCACAAGGACCAAGTCCTGTGACCCTGGGGGCGCCTCCACCAACTCTGCACATCGGTCAAAGTCAGCACCCCGATGTGCTGCCTGGATGCAGGTGAAAGCAAAGCAGATGCCCAAACAAGCCCTCCGCCTCCCGTGCACAGGGCACCAAGGCGCAGGGGGACATATCTCTGTCCCTGGGACCCAACGAGGACCTACATTCACAGGGTTTACTCATGCTCTGCCATGTGGTTTGCACCGAAGTGACCCACGATGCCTCCTCCAGATCCCATCGGCAGGGGATCTGGGGGGCAGGGGTGAGCTCACGGTCAGCGGCCCGTGAACTGAGACGACGAGAGCAAGTGAGCAAGTGTCCACGTGGTCCTGATGCAGGGCCACACTACTGTCCCCGCAGGTGAAGGCAGAGGTGTCCGGCCTCTGGCTTCCTGCATCTTAGGACAGACCTAAAAATGTGAAAACAAAGCCAGGTATCCACTGGCCGGGCAGCCACACGCCAGGGGCGGGAGGTGGGGGATGGGGGGGCGGGCGTGTGCAAAAGTTTGTGCAGACAAAGAACACCTGAGGCAGGACTTCCCTGGTGGCCCAGTGGTTAAGCTCTTGCCTTCCAACGCAGGGGATGTGGGTTCAATCCCTAGCTGGGGAGCCAAGATCCCATATGCTTTAGAGCCACAAAACCCAAACATAAAACAGAAGCTATATCTTAACAAAATTTCAATAAGACTTAAAAAAAAAAAACTGAGACTAGGGCTGCTCTTACACCACCACCTGACTCTAAGGTTCACCCCTACCCCTCACGCCCTATGGGGCGCAGCTCACAGGTTGATGACCCAATCCAGGGTTCCGTCCAGAGGCGGGGTGCCGAATCATTGCACATGCAGAAGCCACCCTCCCGGACGTGACCCATCGGTCCTCCCGCTGCTCGCTCCAGTTTCAGCGCTCAGAGCAGCACACCCGTGTTCTTGCCCAAAACCTTAAAACGTCTGTGCATCCAGGAGATGTTAATTTCCTGTTCCTGTTTTCATGATTATTGGCCATTTCTGTTTCCTATTCTGCCAAATGTCTGTTTATGTCTTTTGCCCATTTTTTAAAATTGGATCCCATGTCTCTTTCTTCTGACACATGGAGAAGTTTGTGTTACTGGGTAGAAGTCATTGGTTACTTACATGGATTGTAAATATTGTGACCTGATTTTCACTTTCTTTATAGTGACTTCTGTGAACAAAGTTTCTTTGTTTTTTAGCTTTTGATGAAAACTTTAATACAGAAAAGAAGTAGAAAGAGTAATGTATTGAATACACATATATCCACGGGAAAGGCTAATTTTATGTGTCAGCTCGTCCAGGTCATAGTGTCCAGCTATTTGGTCAAACACCCGTTGGATGTTGCCGTGGAGGTGTTTTTCAATGAGATTACCATTTTTGTGTGTTTGCACTGAGTCTTCCTTGCTGCGGCGAGCGGGGCTCCTCTCTCGCTGCAGGCGCAGGTTTCTCAATGCGGCAGCTTCTCCTGTGACAGAGCTCCAGTGTGAGGGCTCAGGAGAGGTGGCTCACGGGCTCAGTTAGCCCATGGTGTGTGGGATCCTCTGAGAACAGGGATCAAACCCATGTCCCCGGCATTGGCCCATCCCCTGGACCTCCCGCGAAGTCTGATGGAACATTTCAATCAGAAGATTTGGAGTAAAACAGATCACCTTCATTGAGTGGGTGGACCTTGCCCAATCATTCGAAGGCCTTCAGAGCAAAGACTGAGTTTTCCCAGAAGAAGGATCCCAACCTCAAGAGCGAAACACAGGGAGCCAGCCTGGGTTCCTGCCTGCCGACCTGCCTACAGAGCTCAGATGTGCCCTTCTCCCAACTGCATGAACCCGTTCCCTAGAATAAATATCTCATTCTTCATTCTCTCTCTTTATATATAGACACACATACACATACACACACGTGTATTTACTTTAAGATATGTGTGTTTGTAAGATTCTTAAAGTTGATTCCATATGTCATGACCCAGAAATTGAATAGATACGTGGTTCAGCATTCATCTCCAAAAAAGGAAGCTATTCCCCTGCAGACCCACCATCCCACTCCCATGCGGGCAAGTTAGCAACAATTCCCTGAGAGCCCCGAGAATGGTCTGCGTTCCACTTCCACCACGTTTCCTATTCGCTCTTACGGCTGGTTTGTTCGTCCTAGAGTCCGTCAAGCCCCCTGCCCTGGCTGTGTCTCTTCAGTCTTTCCTGATCAAGTGCCGTTTCCTCCCACCCTCAGCATTTCTCCCCGAGCCACGCACTCATTTCGGGCCAGCGGACCCAAGGTCCCAGCTTCTGGAGGTGACGTGCTGGTGCCGGTTTAAGCGTGCGTCTCTCCCCTGTTTTTCTTGTAACTGGAAGTGGTCACTGAAGGCTTGGTCAGAGGGCAACTCGCCCGCCCTGGAGGGAGCCTGACACAGATGAGGCGTGGGGCTCTTGCTGTCCCTTCCCAGGAAGCACGGGCCTGCCCGTCACACGGGGGACAGCAGCTGTGGCCACTGTGAAGTCATAGCTCTCCTTTGCCACGAGCAAGTGCTCCGTGGACGTCCTGGTGCTAACCGTTCCCCAGCAGGCGCCCTCCTCGTGGTTGCAGCGTCTGTTGAACTGATTGTGACACGAGGTGTGGCAACACGGGAAGTTGCTCTTGTGATAATGAAAGCGTGAGTCGCTCGGTCGTATTCGGCTCTTTTCAACTTGTGGACTGTGGCCCACCAGGCCCCTCTGTCCATGGGGTTCTCCAGGCAAGAGTGCTGGAGTGGGTAGTCATTCCCTTCTCCAGGGGATCTTCCTGACCCAGGGATGGAACCCGGGTCTCCTGCATTACAGGCAGACTCTTTACCGTCTGTTGTGATAGGGGACGTATAAATTAGTCTCATCAAGCCCTGCCTCCTACTGGTCACACCTCCCATGCAACCCGCTTTGTCGAGAGCACGCGGGCTGATCCAGTGAGTGAGTTACCTCCAACAACTGAGTGAACAGTGATGGGTGTGTTCTGAGGCTAGACCCAGCTTCCATCCTCTTATCCTCTTTGCTCACTCTGTTGGGAGCAGTGACCGTATGGCGGGCTGTCCTGTGAAGGAAGAATTGATGGTTTTGAGCTGTGGTGTTGGAGAAGGCTCTAGAGAGTCCCCTGGACTGCAAGGAGATCCAACCAGTCCATCCTAAAGGAAATCAATCCTGAACATTCATTGGAAGGACTGATGCTGGAGCTGAAGCTCCAATACTTTGGCCACCTGATGGGAAGAACTGACTCGTTGGAAAAGACTCTGATGCTGGGAGAGATTGAAGGCAGGAGGAGAAGGGGATGACAGAGGGTGAGATGGGTGGATGGCATCACCGACTCGATGGACATGGGTTTGAGTAAACTCCGTGCCTGCAGTCCATGGGGTCACAGAGAGTCAGACATGACTTAGCAAGTGAGCAACAGCTCTAAGATTTAAAATGTTTTCTTTATTTTTTGTGTTTGTTTTTTCATGTATTATGTGTGTGAAAAGTATTGTAAATCTGTTACAGTACGGGACTACGTAGCTGATGATGTTAGTTGGGTACCTAGGCTGACTTTTTTAGACTTACAGACGTGATCTCAGAACAGAACTCGTGTGTATGTAGGGGACTTGCTGTACCACATTCGGGGCGAAGCTGCCTCATACACCCGCAGACAGCCAGCACGCTGGATTTGCTGTTCCTTCTGTGTCCCTGTGGGGGCTTCCCTGGGGGCTCGGACGGTAAAGCATCTGCCTACAATGTGGGAGACCCGGGTTCAATCCCTGGGTCGGGAAGCTCTCCTGGAAAAGGAACTGGCAACCCGCTCCAGTGTTTTTGCCTGGAAAATCCCATGGATGGACGAACCTGGTAGGCTGCGTGCGGTCCATGGGGTCGCAAAGAGTCGGACGCGACTGAGCGACTTCACTTTTCTTTCTTTCTGTGTCCCTTAGATGACCCTTCTCTAGAAAGACACTTCCCTTCAACTGAGACTACTTGTGAACTAGGAAGATTCTTAATTTGACTTCTTCTTCAGTCAGTTCAGTCCATTCATAATTTTCTGTCAATGTTTTTGTTTCATTGAGGTTTTCAAATTTCACAGCCTACAACTTTTTGTCTGACACTCTATTTTGAAATAATTATAGCTTTACAGGAAGTTGCAAAAAAATATATGGGGAGATCCTGGACACACTTCTCCCCTCCTCCAGAAAGTCTGATGGCAGAAACTGCTGTCTCAGCTGACCCCTCCCCGGGTCTTACAGTCACTACTCAAAACAAAACTAACTGACAAGAAAATGGGGAAGGGGACGGCCAGACTCAAGGACTCTTCCTAGGAGGGTGGAATCTTTAGATCATCATTAAGAAATAGATTAATAAAAGGGGCACTGATGGCGGCAAAACAAAGGTCTCTCAAGGATGGGTGGGACAAAGCAAGGCCTTGCTGGTCTCCCAACATTAATGGGCCCTGAACAAGTCTGGCCTGTTTCCACCAGTTTGGAGGAAAGCAAGAAGCAGGAAGGCAGAAGTCACAAGAGGAAGCAGACCTAGACTCTCTGCGGACAATGATCAGGCAACTTAATCAGAATAAAAGTTGACACTATTTACAATAGTCAGGACATGGAAGCAACCCAAATGTCTGTCTATGGATGAATGGATAAAGGCGTGGTATATATATACTATTGAATATTACTCAGCCACATAGAGGGACAAAATAATGCTATCTGCTGCAACATGGGTGAGCCTAGAGATTGTCACACTGAGTGAAGTCAGTCAGACAGAGAAAGACTAATACGTGATACTGCTTTTGTGTGGAATCTAAAATGTACAAATGAGCTTGTTTACAAAACAGCAATAGAGCCACAGATGTAGAAAACAAAAGTGTGGTTGCCAGCGAGGAAGAGGGGAAGGGATAAGCTGGGAGACTGGGATTCACGCATACACACCGCCACATTAGTTGTTGCCCAGACGCTCCGTCCTGTCTGACTCTGTGACCCCACGGACTGCAGCACACCAGGCTTCCCTGTCCTTCACCATCTCCCAGGGTATGGTAAAATTAATGTCCACTGAGTTGGTGATGCTATCTAACCATCTCATCTTCTGTGGCCCCCTTCTCCTCCTGCCCTCAATCTTTCCCAGAATCAGGGTCTTGCCCAATGAGTCAGCTCTTCACATCAGGTGGCCAAAGTATTGGAGCTTCAGCATCAGTCCTTCCAATGAATATTCAGGACCGATTTCCTTCAGGACAGATCAGCTCGATCTCCTTGCTGTCCAAGGGGCTCTCAAGAGTCTTCTCCAACAACACATTTTGTACACAAAATAGATAACTAATAAGATAAATAATAAGATAATAATAATATAAAATAGATAACTAATAATAAGTAAGCACAGGAAACTCTACTGAATACTCTGTAATGACCTATATGGGAAAAGAATCTGAAAAAGAGTGGGTATGTGTGTGTGTAAAACTGATTCACTTTGCTTACACCTGCAACTAACACAAAATTGTAAATCAACTATCAGTTCAGTTCAGTCCTGTCCGACTCTTTGCGACCCCATGAATCGCAGCATGCCAGGCCTCCCTGTCCATCACTAACTCCTGTAGCTTGCTCAAACTCATGTCTGTTGAGTCGGTGATGCCATCCAACCATCTCATCCTCTGTCGTCCCCTTCTCCTCCTGCCCTCAGTCTTTCCCAACATCAGGGTCTTTTCCAGTGAGTCAGTTCTTGCCATCAGGTGGCCAGAGTATTGGAGTTTCAGCTTCAGCATCAGTCCTTCCAATGAACACCCAGGACTGATCTCCTTTACGATGGACTGGTTGGACCTCCTTGCAGTCCAAGGGACTCTCAAGAGTCTTCTCCAACACCACGGTTCAAAAGCATCAATTCATTGGTGCTCACCTTTCTTTATGGTCCAGCTCTCACATCCATACATGACCACTGGAAAAACCATAGCTTTGACTAGACAGACCTTTGTTGGCAAAGTAATGTCTCTGCTTTTTAATATGCTGTCTAGGTAGGTCATAGATTTTCTTCCAAAGAGCAAGCATCTTTTGATTTCATGGCTGCAGTCACCATCTGCAGTGATTTTGGAGCCCAAAAAAATAAAGTCTGACACTGTTTCCACTGTTTCCCCATCTATTTGCCATGAAGTGATGGGACCAGATGCTGTGATCTTAGTTTTCTGAATGTTGAGTTTTAAGCCAGCTTTTTCACTCTCCTCTTTCACTTTCATCAAGAGACTCTTTAGTTCTTCTTCACTTTCTGCCATAAGGGTGGTGTCATCTGTGTTTCTGAGATTATTGATATTTCTCCAGGCAATCTTGATTCCAGCCTGTGCTTCATCCAGCCTGGAATTTTGCATAATGTACTCTGCATATAAGTTAAATAAGCAGGGTGACAATATACAGCCTTGACATACTCCTTTCCCAGTTTGGAACCAGTCTGTTGTTCCATGTCCAGTTCTAACTCTTGCTTCTTGACCTGCATACAGGTTTCTCAGGAGGCAGGTCAGGTGGTCTGGTATTCCCATCTCTTTAAGAATTTTCCACAGTTTATTGTGATCCACACAGTCACAGGCTTTGGCGTAGTCAATAAAGCAGAAGTAGATGTTTTTCTGGAACTCTCTTGCTTTTTCGATGATCCGATGGATGTTGGCAATTTGATCTCTGGTTCCCCTGCCTTTTCTAAATCCAGCTTGAACATCTGGAAGTTCTGGATTCATATACTGTTGAAGCCTGGCTAGGAGAATTTTGATCATTCCTTTGCTAGCGTGTGAGATGAGTGCATTTGTGCAGTAGTTTGAGCATTCTTTGGGATTGCCTTTCTTTGGGATTGGAATGAAAGTTGACCTTTTCCAGTCCTGTGGCCACTGCTCAGTTTTCTAAATTTGCTGGCATATTGAGTGCAGCTCTTTCACACCATCATCTTTTAAGATTTGAAAGAGCTCGACTGGAATTCCATCACCTCCACTAGCTTTGTTCATAGTGATGCTTCCTAAGGCCCACTTGACTTCGCATTCCAGGATGTCTGGCTCTAGGTGTGATCACACCATCATGATTATCTGGGTTGTGAAGATCTTTTTTGTACAGTTCTTCTGTGTATTCTTGCCACCTCTCCTTAATATCTTCTGTTTATGTGAGGTCCATACCATTTCTGTCCTTTATTGTGCCCATCTTTGCATGAAATGTTCCCTTGGTATCTCTAATTTTCTTGAAGAAATCTCTAGTCTTTCCCATTCTATTGTTTTCCTCTGTTTCTTTGCATTGATCACTGAGGAAGACTCTCTTATCTCTCCTTGCTATTATTTGGAACTCTGTGTTCAGATGAGTATACCTTTTCTTTTCTCCGTTGCCTTTAGCTTTTCTTCTTTTCTCAGCTATTTGTAAGTCCTTCTCAGACAGCCATTTTGCTTTTTTGAATTTCTTTTTCTTGGGGATGGTCTTGATTACTGTCTCCTGTGCAATGAACCTCTGTCCATAGTTCTTCAGACACTCTGTTTATCAGATATAATCCCTTGAATCTATTTTTCACTTCCACTGTATAATCATAAGGGATTTGATTTCGGTCATACCTGATGGTCTAGTGGTTTTCCCTACTTTCTTCAATTTAAGTCTGAATTTGGCAATAAGGAGTTCGTGATCTGAATCACAGTCAGCTCCCAGTCTTGTTTTTGCTATATATACAACCAACTATACTCCAAGTATAAAAAAAGAAGACAGAAGTGGACCAAAGTGTCCCTCAGCTCAATCCTCTGCTGGGGCCCCAGAGTCTTGTGTGGAGTGGGCCCCAGGGCCAGGGGTGGAGAGACGGGGCCCAGGACTCCTCAGGGCCAGAGCCCTGCGCATGGTGGGACCAACGCCAGCTGGAGAAGCCAACAGCCAGAACAGCGGGGTGGGAGGAGCACAGGGCCGCGGCCATGGCGGGGTGACGCGGTCAGGACATTTGGACGGCTCTCGGTGCCGAAGTCGTGCCCCCTTTACCTAGTGGTTCACGAAGTGGACATTATGCCGCAGTAGGGGCTGCGTCCCCTGCCTAGTATTATGGAACCAAGCCCTGTAGGTGGGCCCCAGAGGAGGCCACTGGGAGGAACATCAGGCTCGATGGAATTAGGGTCAAAGTTCAGAGACGCCTCGGGATGCTTGGACAGGCTTTATGTGACGCCACTGGGCCTCTTCTACCCGATTGTGCTGGGGGATGGGGTGGACGTGGTGCCTGGCTCGGGGCAGTTTCTCCTGCCTGGTCTTGTAAAGCTCGTAACTCTGCCCTTCAAGCCGTGTTCACTGGACACGCTGAATGGGAACCAGTAAGATGCCCTGAGCCACCCACCAGGGAGTAGAAGCTGGGGTGCCAGGCGGGCAGGTCTTTGAGCGACGCCCTGCATGCAACCAAGAGAGGGGCTCAGGGCAGCAGCCGTGGGCACCTCCTAGTGATGACCGCCGGGACCTCAGACACGAGAACTTCCGTCTGCGTGGAGTTCTCGAACACCGGCTTGTTGTCTGCCTTGTTATCAAAAGCCCACTGGAGCTACCCTGGTGGCTGAGGCTGCAAAACGATCATGAAGGGCGACCCTGGTGGTGCTGTGGTCAAGAACCCACTTTGCGATGCAAGAGACGCCGGTCTGATCCTCGGTCCGGGAAGATCCCACAGGCGACACAGCAACAAAGCCTGCGGACCCCCACGACCGAGGCTGAGCTCCGCGGCAAGAGGAGGCACCGCAGTGAGAAGCTGGGGCACGGCAACCAGAGAAAGGCGGGTGTGCAACGACCAAGACCCAGCACAGCCCCAAAATAAAACACAGGAACTAAAAAAAGATCCTGAAACCTGAAATCCCCCAACGTCCAGGATGACACAGGGGAGGGCTCTAAGGGGGCGGAGGTGCCCCGAAGAGCTCCAGCCTGACGTGGACACACTTTCCACGGGGAGGTGCAGCCCTGGGGAGCACAAGGGGGCCCCCACACCGGGAGCCTCTGCTTCCCCGGGACTGACCTTGGGAGGGGCTGCTGGCTGTGGTGTTCCTCGGGCTCGGTCCGACTCGCAGCCTTCCCCTGGCCGACCGAGAGCGGCTCGGTGTGCGGACGGCAGCCACATCGTGTCTGGACGGCCCGGCTCTGGCTGAGCCGTAGGCAGCTCAGCCTGGCATCGAGCCGGCTGGCGCCTGCTGTCCTCGAAGCGGGGCGGGAGGGGGAAGGTCCGGATGGTAGGGAAAGTCCTGACATTTGGGTTTTTACCAACGAGTGGGCAGCGGCCAAAGACCTGGGCATCTGGTCGGGCAGGAGGCCCATGGAAACCTGGCCTGTTACAGGGACGTCCATGAAGGATGCGACCTCGCAGAAATCTCTGTAGGAATCTGGGGTGTGTGCAGGTAGGCACATCGGTGCCCCTCAGCACAACCCCGTCACAGGTTCAGAGGCGACTGGCTGGAATTGGCAAGCGGATCCCCGTGTTCTCACCTGAGGCATGCCCCTGGGACCCCTGGGGTGGGTGGACATGGGGGCACTGCAGGGGGACGGGGTCCACAGCCTCAGAGACACGGCACCCCGGGGAGAGACGGGGGAGGCTGATGGCCGTGTGGCCAGTTCCCAGGGCCGGGGGGAGGCCCCGATGGAAGCTGGCAGGCGAGACTGAGGCTGGGAGCCCATGGTCTGCACAGGGGTCCCGATGGGAACAGACGCTCGCCCCGGATGATGTCTGGCTGACCCAGACCCAGACGCTCAGAGCCCTGAGAAACCGGAATGGGTGGGGAGAACCAATCTGGGTGGCCAACTGCCGTGGCTTCTGAATGAGGAACCCTGTAGGACCCAGAATGTGCAGCCTGGGAGTGCGGGTCTGAGGGACGAGGGGACCAGGCACGGCTGGTGGAGCACGGGGTGCGGGGGGCACATACATGGGTGCCCACTCTGTGTGGGGGGGCCGGTGGGTGACCCCCCGGCTCCGACACTTCCGTCTCCCGGGTGGATCGGGGGCAGCAAAGGTGGAGAGGATGCTGGCGTCATTGTGCAATTCCTGCCGGGCTGGCGGAGGGGGGGGGTGTGGGGAGAGGGGGCGGGGGGGGGGTGGGCACTGTCCTTTCTTCCTCAAATCACTTCAATTTTTTTCCTACTTGATGCAACACCAAAAAGACCAAGTCTGCAACGACCAGGGCCAGAAGCAGGGGGGTTTCTTATGCAAGAAGCTGCAACTGTTTTAAATTTTAATTTTTTATTGGCATAGAGTTGCTTTACAAAGTTCTGTTCATTTCTGCTGTCCAATGACGTGAATCAGGCATATACACACGTCTATCTTTCCCCTCTTGGATCTCTCTCCCACCCCACCCCCTTACTGGAATTGATAAAAATACACTTGTTTTTAGTCACGAAGCCCTGTCCAACTCTTTTGTGACCCCATGCACCACAATGTGTAGAACAGGTAACTGGTGGGCAGCGGCCGTGTGACTCGGGGAGCTCAGCTCAGCGCTCATGATGACGCACAGGCGGGGCTGTAACTGTGGTTTTAAACCTGAACACTGATGCGCCTAAAGGGGCCAGCGGAGCCGTGCCGCCCCATTTGGCAAACCTGGGCTGACAGCAGACGTCCCTCGTCCTGCACCCGCCCGGACAGGCATGGACGGTGGGGAGGCGCTGTCAGGGCTCCCATCCCAGCTGCAATCTGGACCAGCTCGTCTGGGAACCAAGGAGAGAAGGAACAGCAGCTGGGGCAATGGGATGAACCCACAGGCCCTGGGATGTGGGGAAGGAAGCCCAGAGTCACACCAGCGCCCGAGTCAGGCTCAGAGCCGGCGACGCTGGTTCTCGTTTCAGCTTCACCAGAGGCCTGAGAGGTCAAGTGATGGGGCCAAGGCCAGTCCTGCTTCGGAGCCTGACCAGATCAGCCTGCAGTCCTGAGGGGCCTCGCCCTGGGGGACGCTCCCACCCGACGTGACAATGGACTGTGCTGATTCTAGCGAGGCACCCATATCATTTAACATCGTTTGGCTCTAAGGGATCTGGTTGGTGACCAGAGGGTGGCCTGTGATACAAGAAAAAAACAAATATTTGGCTTTTGTTCTGGCCCTTGACACAGAGTCCCTAGAGCCTTTGGTATCTCTTGGGATGTCCCTGGTTGTCCAGTGGTTAGGACTGTGAACTTCCACTACAGAGGACGGGGGTTCCATCCCCGGTCAAGTAACTAAGATCCCGTATCCTGTGCAGAGTGGCCAAAAATAAATTTAAAAAGCCCTTTCATCTCTGAAGTAATGAACATGCTTTGTGAGCTAAGGGGATGACAGGTGTCTGGGGGCCCCTAGGTCCTTTCAGGATGAGCGCTGGTCTCCGAAAGGACCCAGCGTGATTAGAGGGTTGGCCCTGTCAGCTCCACCCCTTGACCCCTAGGCGGGGAGAGTGGCTGGAGGCTCAGTCCTTCAGCTGGGGTGTGGTTGGGGGTCCCGTGGAGGGGCCAGGAGGGCCGTGTCCCCAGGAGGTCAGGGAAGCTCCACAGCCTCCCCCTCCCTCCCCTCCTCACCCGAGCACCGCATCCATCCGGCCATTCCCAAGTTGTGTCTTTTATAATAAACAGGTGCTAGTGAGTGAAGCCCTGTCCTGAGTTCTGTGAGCCGTCCTTGGAAATGATCAAAGCTGAGGGGGTGGGGGGTGGGAACCCCCAATTCACAGTCAGAATTAGAGGCGGTCTGGACTCAGTAGAGGTATGGGGACTGTCTTGGGGGGCTGAGTCCTTAACCTGGGGGTCTGACAGTAAACCAGGGGGACACTGTCAGAATAGACTTGGACTCCCCCCCATTGGGGTCCAGAGACTCAGAAAAGTGGGTGTGGTGTTGGAACAGCCCCCACCTCCAACCAGGGGCTGTGACAGACAAACTGCTGTGGACATCTGTGTGCACTGCCTTGAGTGGACGTAAATTTTCATTTCTTTTGGAGAAATGCCCAAGAGTGTGATTGCTGGTTTGTGTGATACTTGCATGTTTAGTTTTACTGAAATAAATAAAAAGCTGCCAAGGTAATCAAATACACTCTCACCATCCTTTTAATCTCCTGCTGATCTGTTCGTAGTCCCCTTTTACTTTCCTAACGTTTATTCACTGGTTTCGTCCTTTCGTGATCCAACTTACCAGACTCTGCTCATCTGGTCCATCTTTCCAGGGAAGCAGGTGGCTGTGGTCCCTCCCACATCCACCTGCTCCCACCTCGTTACCTCCTGCTGTCGCTGGGCATTGCTATCAGCCCTTCATCATTTGGGGTAAAGGCTTTAAACTCTCTTGTTCCTGACTCCTGTCCTCCTGAGTCCTCGCCTTCACAGAGACAGTCCCGTGGGTGAGAGCGCAGGGCAGGCTCCAGGCCCGGCATCCGCCGTCCTCCAGGCACCAGGGGGGCTGACGCCGAAGCTTCGTCCTTGGCCCGTCCTGCCCACGTGACCGTGGGCGCCCCCTCCCCTGTCCGGGGTCACTGGGGGACGCTTGCCCCACAGTGGGCTCCTGGAACAAGCCCAGGCCCTGGGCCACATTCCCGTACAGAGTCTAGTCTCCGGCTGCCCTTCATCCATGGGCAGAGGGGCCTGGCGGGGCTGCAGCCCACGGGGTCTCAAAGAGCCGGGCATGAGCACTCACAGAAATACAGGCACACTGCGGCCTTTTAACAGGCCAGCCCCCCGACTTCCTCACGCCCGCGCCTCCTGCAGAGTCTCGAGGGCAGCAGGCAAACCGGCAGACAGACCCGCAGACAAAGAGACCGACAGACAGACCCACAGACAGACAGACCTGCAGACAGACCAGTAGGCAGACCGGCAGGCAGACCGGCAGGCAGACCCGCAGACAGACCTGCAGACAGACCAGCAGACAGACCAGCAGGCAGACCCGCAGACAGACCCGCAGACAGACCAGCAGGCAGACCCGCAGACAGACCCGCAGACAGACCAGCAGGCAGACCCGCAAACAGACCAGCAGGCAGACCCACAGACAGACAGACCCGCAGAGAGACCCGCAGACAGACCAGCAGGCAGACCCGCAGACAGACCCGCAGACAGACCAGCAGGCAGACCCGCAAACAGACAGACCCGTAGACAGACCCGCAGACAGACAGACCCACAGACAGACCCGCAGCAGACCTGAAGACAGACAGACCCGCAGGCAGACCAGCAGGCAGACCCGCAGACAGACAGACCCGTAGACAGACCCGCAGACAGACAGACCCGCAGACAGACCCGCAGCAGACCTGAAGACAGACAGACCCGCAGGCAGACCAGCAGGCAGACCCGCAAACAGACAGACCCGTAGACAGACCCGCAGACAGACAGACCCACAGACAGACCCGCAGCAGACCTGAAGACAGACAGACCCGCAGACAGACAGACCCGTAGACAGACCCGCAGACAGACAGACCCGTAGACAGACCCGCAAACAGACAGACCCGTAGACAGACCCGCAGACAGACAGACCCACAGACAGACCAGCAGACAGACAGACAGACAGACAGACCCGCAGACAGACCCACAGACAGACCCGCAGTAGACCTGAAGACAGACAGACCCGCAGGCAGACCTACAGGCAGACCCACAGACAGACCGGCAGACAGACCGGCAGACAGACCGGCAGACAGACCGGCAGACAGACCTGCAGGCAGCCCGTGCTCAGAGGCTCTGCTGGGCTCCACCCCTGGAGCCCTTTGGGGCGGCCCAGCCTCTTCCTTCCCGGGGGGCTGCTCGGGTCTTTAGCACTGACCAGTATCCCCCCGCCCCGGGTCACCCCAGAGGGTGAGGCTGTGCGCTGGCGGCCGTGGCCTGCTGAGAACCTGGGGGCCCTCTGTCCATCCTGTCACCTGCGTGCTGACACACCTTCCGTATGTGCAAAAACACCGCCCAGTTTCACAATCGCGGACAGGATGCAGAGGCTGGGCCGCCCCCTCAGCGCCCCCGGCCCCTGTGCTTTGGGGGCCGTAGGGGTCTCTGAAGGCACTCGGCGCCCGCCCCCCGCAGGCGCTGACTGGCTCCTGTCCCGGGAGCACACAGGCCATGCTTCGGGGGACACGGACGACACGGGCCGTAGCCCGCGGGGACAGCCCTCCCTGCCCGTCAGCGGCGCTCACACGGAGCAGGGCAGAGGGGCAGGAAGGCCGATGCACATTGTCGGGTGCAGCCCTGGGGTCCTGGCTGGTGGCAGGAAGGGGCAACCTCTGAGAGCCCCCACCAGGGGTTCTCACCACCCCCAACTCTGTACCACGGCCAGCAGCTCTCCGTCCTGCCGGCCCGGGCACCTCTCCAGACGGTCAGAGTGACCCGGGAGGACAAACACTCGGGCGCTCAGACCGGGGGGTTTCAAGTCCACATCACGCAGGGCGGGGAGGGGTGGGCACCGGTGGCCTCTGCCCTCCTGGCCCGAGCGAACGGAAAGCTCCCAGTCCAGGAAAAAGCGCAGCAAGGCGGGCCTACCCAGGCCCCAGTCCTGGCCCAGAGGCTCCGCGCGGCCTCAGGGGTCATGGTCACACAGCAACCCCACAGCCAGGCCCCAGGTGTCCGCCTGCCTACGTGGCCTCAGCATCTGCTCACCTCTGCCGGGAGCTGGGAGACCCCACGGGAGGCACCTGAGAGCTCACCCTCCCCTGCGGCCTGTTGGACACCTCTGAGCGGCTCTGGGGATGGCGAGGCTGGGGGTCTTGTCTGAGCCAACACATCTGGGGACTCAAGGGCCTCGGGGGGCAAGGTCTAAGAAGCCCCCGGGGACTCAAGTCTGCTTTGTGGGTCCCCCACACCAAGCAGCATCCCCACAACAAGCGACTGGGCAAGGACCCCTTGCCACCCGCTGGCAGCTTCAGCGACCGCCGCCCCCATACACACCCAGGCCCAAGTCTCTTCCAGGTTGCAAGGATCCTGACTCCAAGATGCCGGAGTGGGGTGGGGGCCCCAGGCGGCACCAGAGAACAGCCACTGGGCTGCTCAGGGTCAGAGCCCTGGACCCGCCGGCAGCTGCCCCTGTCCTGGCCTCAGCCCCGGAGCTGAAGGCTCCAGTAAAGCTGGGACTGGGATCCCCCAAGGGCCCCCCAGGCTGCCTGGTGTCCGAGTGGCAGCAGCTCCGGGCTGTGAGCTCACTCTCAGGCCCAACACTTGTGGCCCAGCCTGGGGGCCCCTTGACAGCCTCCAGTGAGGGGTCCCAGGGCCCCCAGGGTCAGTCCCGACCCCACACAACAGCTGCAGTGCCAGCTTGGAGGTCACGGTCTGTCCCACCCCCGTGCACTCAGCGGGCCCCCCTCTGCCCAAGCCACCAAAGCCCACAGACCCACCCGGGCAGCAGGGCCCAGCTCAGAGCTGGCACCACCGGCAGTGACAGAGGAAGACCCACGAGGGATGTGGAGGAAGGAAGACGGGGTGGGGGTGGGAGCCACGGTGGGCGCTGCGGAGGGTCTCAGCCCAGCTGGTGAGCAAGCTGCAGGCTGAGGCCCAAAAGGCCGGGGGAATGAACAGTGCATGTGTGTGTGGGTGTGTGTGTGCAGGTGGGTGTGCATGTGTGGACAGACATGTGTGTGCACACAGGCATGTATGCACATGGGGTGTGTGTGTGGGTACACGTGGATTTGTATGCATATGCGTGGGCATACGGCTGTGTTTGCGTGTGTATGTGCGTGTGACATTCCAAGCAGAAGAAACCAAATGTCCAGCTGCTGGGAGGTGTGGGGCCCCGCGCCAGGAGCGAGCACGCCTGAATGTCCAGCCTGGGGAGGGGCCTGGATGCTGCGGCCACAGGCCGGAGGAGTGTGAGGCTGTGACGAAAGGAAGACGGGACAGGTGACACGGGTGTGCACAGCACCCGCTCCCTTCCAGGCTGTTGCGTGTGGGCGGGTGGGACACACGCACCCCACTACCCAGGCCTGGCCCTCCTGTCCCCTTGCCCAGCAACGCTGGAGGCCACCTGTCCCATCAGCCAAACTGCAGGTGGAGGAGGGCCGCCAGCCTGCGTCAGACGTGCCGCCAGCTGCTGACCCAGCCTTGAGCGCGTGTGGGGCCGTGTGCACTCACACTTCTCTGCCCTGGCAGCAGCTACCCGGGCCCTCGGGCTCAACACACAGGTCTGACCCTTCCCCTGACCTTTGCCCCACTTGCCTCAGGTCAGACGGGAGTTCCCCTGGGCCTCTGTCACCAAGCTTTGACTTTGCCAAGTTCTGAATTTCTGAATATGTGCTCATATTCACTTTCCTTTCTGTTTGCAAAGTGGACCTTCTCGACCCCACCTCTTCTGCGTACACACAAGGCCAAGAGTGACGGACACAGAGCACCCTAACACACGCAGCATTCTGTTTTCCAGCTTCCGCCCTTGGCTGTTGGCTCAGTCTCCTCGCGGGCCACTTGCAAAGTGACCATGATGTGTTCTTTACCAAATGCCCCAGCATCACGTGAACCGTAGCTCCAGCCTCTGCTTCGCCACTGAGCAGGACCCGAGGGGGCTTCCCAGAACGGAACTTCCCCCCGCCCCGAAATGTCCTCCACCTGCCTTTTGTCTGTAGAGAAGCTTTAGTCAAAGGATAAATTTAATCAGAGAACAGAGAAAATGTAGAAACAAAGAAAAACGGTCAAATAAGACAAAATGGTAACAGGTTAGCCGCTAAGCAGAGCCAAGGGCCTTTACTGGCCCCCCCAGGGCTGAGCCGCGTCCTCTGAGCTGTTTCACAGACGCTGAGCTTCCCCTGTGGCTCAGATGGCAAAGAACGCGCCTGCGACACAGGAGACCGGGGTCGGTCTCTGGGTCGGGGAGATCCCCTGAAGAAGGAAATGGCAGCCCACTCCAGTATTCTTGCTTGGAGAATTCCATGGACAGAGGAGTCTGGCAGTCTACAGTCCAAGGAATCACAAAGAGTGGGACACAACGGAGTGACTAAACCCACAAACCCCCACCAGGTGGAAGAAGTTAACTGTGTGCTGCCCACCTGCAACGGAGACCCCAGACACATCGGAACCAAAAGGCTGATGATGCTGACTCCCAACTACCTCACCACCAACCAATCAGAAGAGTGTCCGCAAGCCGATCGCCCTCCCCACAACCTCCCTCACTCACCCTGGAAGCCTCTGGGGAGTTCAGGCCTTTTAAGCACTAGCTGCCTGGACACCTTGCTCGGCGCCTGCAAGAGACGCTGCTCTTTCCTCCACCGAGACTCAGTGTGGGTAGACTGACTGGACTGCACGCGGGCAGGCGGACGCAGGCCTGGCTTGGTAACACCAGCAGCCTCTCTGCTAAGCCAGGGCCATGTCATCTCAGCTCGAGGGCGTATTTGTCAACACAGTACAACCTGGCCTACGTGACTAATACAGGAAAAGTTCTTTGAATGTTGTCACAGCAGAACACCGAAATGAGCAAATATCCAACGGATCACCCGCATGCTGGGCGGCACGCTCTGCAGTGCCTGAAGTAGGACTCAGGTTGCCTGGGCTCACGGCCTGGCTCCGTGCCATTGTGCCTCATCCTTGAGAAGGCCGGTCCGGCTGTGTCATCTTGATAAGAACAAAAGTGAGTCATGTGCCTAAGACTAGAGTCAAGGGCAAAGCTACCCAAGGACAGGGGGCAGGCATCGCCAGGTCCCACAGCAGAAATGTGGGCACAGGCCAGGCTGAGGGCCTGGAGACACCAACACGATGTGCCAACTTTTGAAGTCGAAAACTGTAGGAGCAAGAGGAGGCAATGCCGAGCTGATGTGTCCCCAGCTGGTGGCCTGGACCTGGTGTGGCCACAGCCACAGGCGGGGCAGGCAGCGGGGAGGCGCAGGTGTGTTCTGTGCTGAGCTGAAGTCACTGGTGAGCAGGGGGCCTGTGGGAACAGGTAAGGCTCGGTGCTGGGCAAACAGAGAGACTGCCATCCCCCACCTCCGGTGCGGTCAGTGCAGTCACTCGAGGTCACGTGGCCGTGTTCCGACCAGTGGGATTGCAGGGGAAGGGAAGCAAGCTGCTTCCCACGTGGTCCCCCCTTTCAAGGTGACCTTGGAGGCCACAAGTTTCCAAACAACAGAAGATGAGGAAGGCTTAACCCATGTAAGACTGTGGGTGGGTGGAAGGAAAAATGCTGAGAGCTTAGGGTGTCTTTGTTTCTGCAACAGGGCCTGGTTTCAGAGCGGCGGCCGGACCAGCAAGCAGCCCCTGAACGGGGTAGAAATGCAGACCCTCACGTCGCCCCCAGCCCCGCTGACCTCGTGACTCAGACGTGCTAGGCTGGGGCCCAGCAGCTGTGTTCTAGCAAAGCGCCCCCACCAGAGAAGTGTGATGTCCATCTGACACAGACACGGAAGCCCCATCCCGTAGACCCTGTGGGATTCCTGGGCATGGAAGTCTTTCAAGCAGTTGCTAATCAGGGAAGGGCAGGGATGTGGAGGCAAGGGAGGAGCACCCAAGATACAATAGTGAAGGCTTGGAGCAGGGTCCTGGTTCCACCTGGAGAGATACACACAACACTATCTTTCACCTCTTAAACCCCAAACAAATGGAAGATGTTAGCATCTTCATTCCAGAGAAGGTTGCAGTTTGATAAACTTGAGAACCAGAGAAGCTCATCAGGAGACCCACCTGTATCTGTGCTCAGCTTCTTCAGTCGTGTCTGACTCTTTGTGACCCCATGGACCACGGCCCACCAGGCTTCTTTGTCCATAGGATTTTCCAGGCAAGAATCCTGGAGGGGATTGCCATGCCCTCCTCCAGGAGATCTTCCTGACCCAGGGATCAAACCCGCATCTCCTGCATTGGCAGGCAGACTCTTTACCACTTGAGTGCAGGGCCTGCACACACCCTGATCCTTATTAGCAACCCTTGCCCTTGAGCCATCACTATCAAATGCTTCATGAAATCACCCCAGGGTGGGAGCACACAGGTTTTCAGGGCAGGAGCCCATGTGTCCCCCTCTGCCTGGTAAAGCTGTTCTTTTCTACTTCACCCAAAACACTCTCTCTGCGGTTCAATTAGGCACCAGTGCCCAGAGGCAGAGCTTTCGGTATCAACAGGAGCAAGGGCAGGATTGGCGTGAAGGACGGGTGTTCTAGGTTGGTGACTAAGCCGTGAAGACAGGAAATGGCAGGACAGTAGGTGACAAAGCAGATGTGAGATGAATTCAAGGCGGGCTGGGAGGATGGACGGGCGGATCTGGGATCTTCAGCCTCGGGTGAGGCGGGTCCAAGGTTGACGAGATCTGAGGGGCAGCAGTGGGCTCTCACAAGTGGGGTTAAGTTCACCGGACACGGGCCGTCAGCGGTGTTGAGTGTGTTGTCCTGAAACCATGTAACTGAGATTGGGATTTGAACCCATGAGGCTGGGACTCAAATCTGGACAAAACTCGTCCTTTAACTGAAATCACACACCTGGCTTCAGGAGTTAATGAAGCTCAGGTTCTTGATCTCTCATCTCAGAAAGAATTCAGTGAGAGACAAAGTAGTAGGCAAGAAGTTGATTTTTTCAAAAAGAAACACACTCCACCGACAGAGTGTGGGCCATCTCAGAAGGTGAGAGTGGCCTTGAAATATGCTGTGGCTAGCTTCTATGGGGTGGGTAACTTCATAGAGTAGTAATAAGGGGAAGGATTATTCCAACTATTTTGGGGAAAGGGCGGAGATTTCCAGGAAACGAGCCACAACCCACTTTTTGGCCTTTGATGATTGCCGTCAGAACTCTCATGGCACCTGTGGGTGTGACACTGGGCTTGCTGAGGGGTCACAATGAGTGTGCACTGAGGCTGTGCACCAAGGCAGCGTGTGTGTGTGTGTGTGTGTGTGTGTGTGCGCGTGTGAGAAGAAGTGAAGTGAACGTCCTTCAGTCACGTCCGACTCTGCGACCCCATGGGCTATACATTCCATGGAATTCCCAGACCAGAATACTGGAGCGGGTAGCCTTTCCCTTCTGCGGGGGACCTTCCCAACCCAGAGATTGAATCCAGGTCTCCTGCATTGCAGGCAGATTCTTTACCAGCTGAGCCACAAGGGAAGCCCTGTGTATATATATGTTTTATATATTGTATAAAACACATGTTTTATACAATATATAAAACGTGTGTGTGTGTGTACACCATGGGACCATTTCATGCAAAGATGGGCACAATAAAGGACAGAAATGGTACGGACCTAACAGAAGCAGAAGATATTAAGAAGAAGTGGCAAGAATACACAGAAGCACTATACAAAAAAGATCTTCATGACCCAAATAATCATGATGGTGTGATCACTCACTTAGAGCCAGACATCATGGACTGCAAAGTCAAGTAGGCCTTAGGAAGCATCACTATGAACAAAGCTAGTGGAGGTGACGGAATTCTAGCTGAGCTATTTCAAATCCTAAAAGATGATGCTGTTAAAATGCTGCACTCAAAATGCCAGGAAATTTGGAAAACTCAGCAGTGGCTGAAGAGGGAATTCATAGGGCCTGGACTCCATCTCAGGCCTGTCCATGCTGACTGTGCTCAGCCGCCTCTCCAATGGACTCCAAACTCTGTGCTCAGCACCTATGGGAATGACAATAGAAGGATAAGACCCCCTCCGGACAGGGGAACCTTGAAGATCGTATCCAGCTTACTCATCGCCTAGGAGAAAACATACGCTCATCACCCCTGTCTCCATAATCCCTGGCCATAATTTTTCTGTACCTATCGGAGTGTAACCTCAGGCTTATTGATTATTGGCCAATTGTTTAACTGTTTGAACACATGAGACATGAATTATGGGGTTATTGGGATTGCATTTACCCTTCCTTTGTTTATGTAAGTCTCAAGGAATTTGGGGTGGTGGGTTCAGACATGTACACATGGGGTATAAAATATTTTCACAAATGCTGGTAGGGGTCCTTGGCTAAGAGAGGACTCTGCCTTGGGCCTGCCAGTGTAATAAACTTCACTCCACTATCTGCATTGTCCTTCTGAGTGAGTTTGTTTCCCAGAATGTGTGGCTACAACATGGCCACAGGACTGGAAAAGGTCAGTTTTCATTCCAATCCCAAAGAAAGGCAATGCCAGAGAATTCTCAAACTACCGCACAGCTGTGCTCATTTCACATACTAGCAAAGTAATGCTCAAAATCCTTCTTGTTGAGGCCAAGCTTCAACAATACCTGAACTTACAACTCCCAGATGTTCAAGCTGGATTTAGAAAAGGCAGAGGAACCAGAGATTAGATCAAATTGCCAACAGCTGTTGGATCATAGAAAAAGCAGGAGAATTCCAGAAAAACATCTCCTTCTGCTTCATTGACTACACTAAAGCCTTTGACTGTGTGGGTCACAATAAACTGAAAAATTCTTAAAGGCATGGGAATACCAGACCACCTGACCTGCCTCCTAAGAAACCTGTATGCAGGTCAAGAAGCAACAGTTAGAACTGGACATGGAACAACAGACTGGTTCCAAATTGAGAAAGGAGTACATCAGGCCTGTATATTGTCACTCTGCTTATTTAACTTATATGCAGAGTACATCATGAGAAATGCTGGGCTGGAGGAAGCACAAACTGGAATCAAGATTGCTGGGAGATACATAAATAATCTGAGATATGCAGAAGAAACCACCCCAGTGGCAGAAAGCAAAGAGCAAGTAAAGAATCTCTTGATGAAGGTGAAAGAGGAAAGTGAAACAGCTGGCTTAAAATACAACATTACAAAAGACAAAGATCATGGCATCTGGTTCCATAACTTCATGGCAAATAGATGGGGAAACAATGGAAACGGTGACATTCTTTATTTTCTTGGGCTCCAAAATCACTGCAGATGGGGACTACAGCCATGAAATTGGAAGACACTTGTTCCTTGGAAGAAAAGGTATAACAAACCTAGACAGCATATTAAAAAGCAGAGACACTACTTTGTCAACAAAGATCCATATAGTCAAAGTTATGATTTTTCCAGTAGTCATGTATGGATGTGAGAATTGGACCATAAAGAAGGCTGAGCGCCAAAGAATTGATACTTTTGAACAGTGGTGCTGGAGAAGATTCTTGAGGGTCCCTTGGACTGTGTCAACTACAAACTGCCACTTACTAAGAACATCACCAACTACTGAACAACAAAGACATTTGCCATCTGCCTCTACGGAGACTGAAGCCCTGCTGCTATAGGTGCTGACCTTCACCAACCCTGAGTGAGTTCAGGGTGGAGTGAGGCGCTCTGTGCTCCAGGGAATCTGGTGGGACAGGTCTTTAGACAGTTGGATGTTTTTAGGAATGGATTTTATAGTCTCAATCCTTGCATCTCCTCATATCTAGAGAAGCACTAAATCCCTTCATGGTGACCTCAGATCCTCACAACTAACAAAAAAATATTTTGTAAAATGAATGCTTCATAGTATTGAACTCCCCCTTCACCAAAACCTTATATATTGACTTTCCCCCACAGCTGCTTTGGAGCAGTCTCTCGGAGCTATCTGTGATGCTGCCTCCTGGGCTGCAGTCCTCATTTTGCCCCAAATAGAACTCAACTCACAACCCTCAAGTTGTACATTTGTTTTAGTCGACAACTGCAAGGAGATCAAACCAGTCAGTCCTGAAGGAAATCAATCCTGATATTCATTGGGAGGACTCATGCTGAAACTGAAGCTCCAGTACTTCGGCCACCTGATGCAAAGAGAAAGAGCTGACTCATTAGAAAGACCCTGAGGCTGGGAAAGATTGAAGGCAGAAGGAGAAGGGGATGGCAGAGGATGAGATGGTTGGATGGCATCACCGACTCAATGGACACGAGTGTGAGCAAGCTCCAGGAGATGGTGAAGGACAGAAAAGCCTGACGTGCTGCAGTCCATGGGGTCGCAAAGAGTCGGGCACAACTGAGCGACTGAACAACGACCATATTGAGACTCAAGGTCTAGTGGAAGTCAACTCGTCCACCATCTTGGACCCACTTGGTGCTAGTCAGTTTCTGCCATGTCCTCAGGCCATGCCATTCTTTCAAGGGCTGTGCCGTGTCTGCTCACCTCCTGTTTCAGTCCCCCCTGGGATGGACACGGGGCTTGGCTGGAGAAGAGGACCAAAGGCCAGTCCCCTCCAGATCCTCACACCTGGCTCAGGGATGGTGAGGCAGTCCCCTGCTGACATCAGACTCCTGTAGCAGTTCCAAAGACACAGCATGGGAATCAGCGTTCTGCAGAGAAACAGAGCCATAGGATGTGTGTGTCCACAGGAGGATTCTGAGGACAAGGAACTGGCTCACACCATCAGTGAGGCTGGGAAGCTCCGGGCCCTGGAGTCAGCGAGTGGGACCTGGAGAGCAGAAGGTGTCAGTTCTAGTCCAAAAGCCAGTGCACTCGAGTCTGGAGGAGGGCCCACATTTCAGCCTGAGTCTGAAGGCAGGAGAAGACTGTCCCTGCGTCCGGGCTCCTGGCCCGGCTGGGGGAGTTCCCTCTCGCTCAGCCTTTTGCTCTTTGTGGGCCTTCACCTGATGGGACAAGGCCTACGTTCAAGGGCAGGCCTCTCGCTTTATCCAGTCCACACACTCCAACACGAAGCTCCTCTAGAAACACAGATATACCCAGGGGAATGTTGGAATAAATATCTGGGCTCCCCGTGACCCAGTCAGGTTGACACATGAACCCCCTCATGGGGCTTCTGTCCTTTTAATGGTGTGGAACTCCATCTCCCGCCTACATCGGGACCAGTGCTGCCATAAGCCCTGAGCTGGTTCAGACACAACGAGGACAGGACACAGAGGAAACTGCAGGGTCTCTCTGGGCACCGGGAGAGGCTGCAGGAGCGGGTCTTGAGTGTCCTGCCTCACGGAGAATTTTAATAAGTGTGTGGATATTGAACACACTCCCCTGTGACCCGCCCCATAAAGGGGGCTGAACACTGAAGAATGGATGCATTTGAGCTGTGGTTTGGAGAAGACTCTGGAGAGTCCCTTGGACTGCAAGGAGATCCAACCAGTCCATCCTAAAGGAGATCAGTCCTGGGTGTTCATTGGAAGGACTGATGTTGAAGCTGAAACTCCAATACTTTGGCCACCTGATGCAAAGAACTAACTCTTTGGAAAAGACCCTGGTGATGGGAAATATTGAAGGCAGGAGGAGAAGGGGACGACAGAGGATGAGATGGTTGGATGGCATCACTGACTTAATGGACATGAGTCTGAGCAAGCTCTGGGAGATGGTGAAGGACAGGGAGGCCTGGTGTGCTGCAATCTATGGACGGCAAAAAGTCGGACACGACTGAGTGACTGAACTGACTGAGATAGCATATTAGAAAGCAAAGACATCACTTTGCTGACAAGGTCCATAGAGTCAAAGCTGAGGTTTTTCCAGTGGTCATGTATGGATCTGACAGCTGGACCATAAAGAAGGCTGAGTGTCAAAGAATTGATTCCTTTAAACTGTGGTGTTGGAGAAGACTCTTGAGAGTCCCTTGGACTGCAAGGAGATCAAACCAGTCCATCCTAAAGGAAATCAGTCCTGAATATTCATTGGAAGGACTGATGCTGAGGCGGACACTCCAATACTACAGTCAGCTGACGTGAAGAGCTGCTGTTGTTGTTGTTTAGTCGCCCAGTCATGTCTGCCTCTTTGTGACCCCATGGACTGCAGCACAGCAGGCCTCTCTGTCCCTCACCACCTCCCGAAGTTTGCCCGAGTTTATGTCCTTTGCATCAGTGATGCAATCCAGCCATTGCATCCTCTGACACCCTCTTCTCCTCTGTCCTCAATCTTTCCTAGCATCAGGGTCTTTTCCAATGAGTCAGCTGTTCCCAGCCGATGATCAAAATACTGGAATTTCAGTTTCTGCATCAGTCCTTCCAAGGAGTATTCAGGGTTGATTTCCCTTAAGATAGTCTGGTTTGATCTCCTTGCAGTCCAAAGGACTCTCAAGAGTCTTCTCCAACACCACAGCTCAAAAGCATCAGTTCTTCAGTGCTCAGCTTTCTTTATGGTCCAACTCTCACATCCATACATGACTACTGAAACAACCATAGCCTTGACTAGACAGAACTTTGTTGGCAAAGTAATGTCTCTGTTTTTTTAATATGCTGTCTAGGTTGGTCATAACTTTTCTTCCAAGGAGTAAGCATCTTTTAATTTCATGGCTGCAGTCACCATCTGCAGTGATTTTGGAGCCCAAAAAATAAAGTCAGCCACTTTTCCAACTGTTTCTCTATCTATTTGCCATGAAGTGATGGGACTGGATTCCATGATCTTTTTTTTCTGAGTGTTGAGCTTTAAGCCAACTTTTTGACTCTCCTCTTTCACTTTCATCAAGAGGCTCTTTATTTCTTCATCACTTTCTGCCATAAGGGTAGTGTCATCTGCATATCTGAAGTTAATCGATATCTCCCAGCAATCTTGATTCCAGCTTGTGCTTCCTCCAGCTCAGCGTTTCTAATGATGTACTCTGCATATAAGTTAAATACGTCCAACTCTTTGCGACCCTATGGACTGCAGCACGTCAGGCATTCCCGTCCCTAACCATCTCCCAGAGTTTGCCCAAGTTCATGTCCATTGAATCAGTGATGCCATTCAACTCTCACCATCTGTCACCCTCTTCTCCTCTGCCTTCAATCTTTACCAGTATCAGGGTCTTCTCCAAAGAGTTGGCTCTTTGCATCAGGTGGCCAAAGTATTGGAGCTTCAGCATCAGTCCTTAAAATGAGTATTCAGGTTGATTTCCTTTAGAATTGACAAGCTGTGGTGCTGGAGAAGACAACTGAGAGTTCCCTGGATGGAAAGGAGACCAAAGCGATTACACTCCAGTTAAATAAAAAGAAGAACCAAATCTAAGTGTCATGGTCATCTAGGGCTACTGTGTAACAAAATACCACGGCCTGGATGAATCAGATAGTAGAGGTTTACTCTCTCACAGCCTGGAGGCCAGAAGTCCAAGGTCAAGGTGTAGGCTTAGCTAATTCCTCCAAGGGCCGTGAAGGACCATCTGGACAGGCCTGTCTCCCAGCTACTGATGGTTTGCTGGGTTCCTTGGCTTGAAGAAGCCCACCCCCAGCCTCCACCTTCATCTCTACGTGGCCTCTCCCTGTGTCAGGGTCCAGCCTCCGCATCCCTTGTGGAGAACACTTGCCCCTGGATTTAGGATCCACTCCAGATGCTGAGTAATCTCCTTTCGATTTCAATAACTCTCCGTGAAGGCCCTATTCCCAAATACAGTCACATTCTGAGGTACTGGGGGTTAGGACGTCAACATATGAGTTTGTCAGGGGCACAGCTCAACCCACAGCATCACCCCCGCAGTCGTGGGAGCAGAGCAGCAGGTGCGACGCAGGGGGTTGGCTGGAGAGGGCGGCGGGCAGACATCGCAAGGCTGGAGGTGGTGGCTCCTCTGCGAGGCTCGGCCGCATGAGGTACAGGAGCCATAAGGCTGTCCAGGCCCCACCGGGGGCCCCATGCAGCCTTAGGAGCAGCAAGACCCAGGCCGTTTCTTACACACATTCTGTCCTTTACAACCTGGGATCCCGGGGCCCTGCAGGGGATCAGGGTCTCGCCAGCATCCTTTGATCTGGTCAAAGGTGACAAGATAACACTCTAGGAGGCACGGGGTGCCCCTGAGTCTCTGGACTTTGAGCAGGAAGTCTGGGGAAAGTCCAACCGTTAGAAGCAAAGAGACTGGAGACGCAGAGGGGCCTGTCCCGGGAGGAGGGGCCTGTCCCGGGAGCTGTCCCCGCCCCGCGCCTGAGACCTGAGGTCTGTCCTGGTCACCACAGGGTCCTCCCAGCTCCCTCACCACCAAAACCTAGTTTCCCGGTGATACGCAGAAACTACTTTGGAGATAGAAAAACAAAGAGGGAGAGAGGACTCGGGGGAACTGGGGGTGGCGTGCAGGCAGGGCGTCACCTGGAGCGAAGGCAAACGGAAAACCTCCGCAGACGGTTCCGTGCCCCAGAGCCTGCGTGGCACAGGCAGAGGACAGGGCAGGGAGCCCGCTCTCGGAGCGGGACACGGGGTGCAGGGAGGCAGGGTGTCCCCCCTGCCCTGGCAGGGGACGCTGAGGGGCTGGCAGAGCTCGGGAGTGGGGTGGGGAGCTTCCTGCGTGGGCCAGCAGGGACCAGGGGGCTCCAAGCCGAACAGACAGGCAACGCCCGTGAAGACCTGCAGGTCTTCAGCGCCACCGCGGCCCCTGGGGACCCGGGCACGTAGAGGATGGCGTGGGGGCGCGGAACACGGAGTCTGGGGTTAGAGCCGGAGGCAGAGAAGACGCCCCCCGCCCCCGTCCAGAGGGTGCTGTGTCCCTACCCGCACCCTGCCCGGAGGGACGCCTGCCAGGAGCGCGGGCGCTGGGGATCAGGCTCCGCACGGAGATGGCCGCGTCCCGGGAGATGGCTTCCCCAGCTTCTCCCGGCCCAGGGGGCTCTGTGAGTTGGAAGGAGCAGGGAGGGGACATGGTCCCGGGTGGGGTCTGAGGGAAGAAGGCTGCCCAGCGCTGTCGGTGGTCAGTCAGTCAGGGCCACGCCCGCCTGCCCCTGGGCAGCCAGGCCAGGAGGGTGAAGGGCTGTGGGCTCTGCTTACCATTTACACATGTTGATTGAACCCGGATAATCTACAGCAGACGGCACGAACGCCCCCAGGGTGCAGCAGGGCCCAGACCGGGTGGGGAGGCAAAGCTGGGGGCTCCCTGGCCTCCCCCCGCCTCTCCCCTGTTCCTGCTCCCGCAGTCTGGGAGGGGCCCAGCCTCTCTCTTCCCAGGCCCACGCTCAGGGGGCTTGGAGCCTGTTATGCCCGGTGTCCGAATCCCCGAGCGGGAAGAGAGAAGGCCTCCAAGACAATGCAACTTGCAAAAAGGGAAGTTTATTGCTGACTCGAGTCAGGGCTCCTGCCGCATCCAGTGCAGTGGTGCGGGGTCAGAGAGCCCCGAGCCCAAGCTGTTACACAAGTTTATAGGGTGGGCACACGCCGTTGGTAGTTGGTTTAAGTGGATTGCAAAGCAATTTCATTGGTCAAAACTTTCGCGAACGTGGGACTTTCCCGGGGGTTTCCTCCCCGTTCCTAATTTCCTAATTGGCAAACAGCGGTCAGTGTTAAGCGAAAGCTGATCCAGGTGGCCTGATTATCCTACCACCCAAAAGTAGGAAGGCCTACTCCTAATCTAAACTGCCTGCCATGGCATTACTTCTGCTCGCCTCACATTCCCCCGTCTCTGTTCAAGTAGAGGAATCTTCCTTTTTTTCCATCTTGGGCCACTGGAGTATCAATAATAGCACTCTAAGTGGACCCAGGAGGGTGGAAATTAAGGTAGCCAGCCAGGGGGAGCGTTGAAACCAAGACTCAAACCATCTCTGCTGGGCTTCCCATTCTCTCTTTCGTTGCGCCACTCCCTCTCTCACTTTTGCCATAGATTCTCTTACCACTCCTGTATGGTCTGCATAAAAACAACATTCTTTTCCCAGAGCCGCGCAGACCCTACCTTGTTGGAGAAAAATCAAGTCTAATCCTCTCTTATTCTGCAAGACCACCTCAGACAAGGAAGTCAAAGACTTCTCTAAGTGACTGATTGATTCTTTTATGTGAGTTATACCTTCATCGACAGTGGCTCGTAGGGAGGAAAGCCCTTGGCCTTGCAGAGATAGTGAAGCTT